TACATGGATGGATTGGGTTCGATTCCTACCCACGACAATTATTGTGTCATGAGCATGATTTTTTGTTCTGTGTCTGGGTGGAATTTATCTATAACAACAACGACCGAATGGCGTAGTGGTTTGTGTAACGGACTGCTATTCCAAAGGGCGCGGGTTCGATTCCCGCTCAAGTCGAAAATTTGTGTGGATAAACATGAATTGTTTGATTTGGTCTGGATGTTTCTATGTATAATATGTATATGTTTACAAAACAAAAGTATATATGTATTTATATCAGTTGTCTAGTCTAGTACAAGCTCTGCTTAGTTTGGGACTAGATGGCGTTGTGTGAATGTGGTAGAATATTATTATTATAAAATGTAAGGATTTAAAAACTACAGCAGATCAAAGTCATGCCACCTGACTGTTACTGAAAATGGCTCCACAATTAACACTTTGAAATACATATATAAAAACAGTACACTAAGTATTTTCATAGATTTTTTATTATCATCAACAGCCTATAATAGTCCACTGCTGGACATAGGCCTCTCCTTAGAAAGGAGGTTTTGGCCTACTATACCACGCTGGCCAGACGTAAATGATTACATACCCAAGAAGGTTCAGCGTCAAGCAACCCAAAAAAACTCGCTTTTTTTGTTAACGGGGTTGAAGATCCTTATGGATGTCCTTTGCCTACTGGGAGGAGCGGACGGAAGGGTATGTCGGACTCTTCATCAATAGCCTATAATAGTCCACTGCTGGACATAGGCCTCTCCTTAGAAAGGAGGTTTTGGCCTACTATACCACGCTGGCCAGACGGGTTGGTATAGGGTTTGTTTAAAGTTTTCCTTCTCTTTACAGTGCTGTTGTCCTGCGTAGTTTACTTCCTTATTCGGCTCTTACGACACCCACGGGACTCTTACCGACTAAAAAACAACCCTGGCGTTCCTCTGCTTGCCAATTGCCGAATTGCAAAATTTAAACTCAAAATTTTTGAAGAATTTAAAACGCCATCTAGTTATATATGTTTGCGAAATCTTTGTCTCAAGAATGTTCTAGAACAAAAAGACGAACAAAATATACAGAGGTGTATTTATGTGTATGTCAATACTAGAAAAGACAGCTTTAATGAGAGAGCAAACAAGCCAGGCCCACTTGACCTTAGACAGACACCTCTGATTGAACGTTTTCAAGACACTGTACGTACCTGTAGCATTATATATTCTACTAGCTGAGACCCGCGGTTTTACCCGCGTTTGTTGTTATAACCGCGGGAAGCTAGTCTAAAAAAGTAGCCTAAGTTACTCTTTATGTCATTAGCTATCTGCCAGCGAAAGTCCCGTCGAAATCGGTCCAGCCGTTCCAGAGATTACCCGGAACAAACAGACAGACAGACAGACAAAAATCGAAAAAAAAGTTATTTTGGCATATGTACCGTGTGCATTTAGTAAAAAGCGGTTATTTTAATATTACAAACAGACACTCCAATTTTATTTATTTGTATAGATTCATAGTTAAAGTATGGTACACTAAGGTTTACTAGCAGTTATGTAAATATTTGTTGAAAAATACATATTGAAATTATTTGTTTATTTTGAAGACAAACAAGTTTTTATTTATTGAACGTCATAACTATATGTTCTTGAAAAACACTCGTATGATATAATTATAAAGAGTTCTTTGTGTGATAGGAGTATGCCATTCATTTTATTCTCGTCATCATCTTGGGGCCGTTTTTGCTATTTTATATTGTGGCCGAAGTAACTTTTGAAACTTATCTTATATATAAAATTCTCGTGTCACAATGTTCGTTCCCGTACTCCTCCGAAACGGCTTGACCGATTCTTATGAAATTTTGTGTGCACATCGGGTAGGTCTGAGAATCGGCCAACATCTATTTTTCATACCCCTAAATGGTAAGGGTGACCCATCCCTATTTTTTTTTGTTTTGCAATGCCTCCATAAGCCCATATCATATTGAAACAGGTTTATTTTGCCCTTACACAGTCACTTTTAAATTACTGAATAACTTGCTGGGGTAGTGCACTGAAAACATTCATGTTGCAAGCAGAAATAGCCCAGCGATCTGTTTTGAAAGTCATGCTAGAAAGACCCTTTAGGTATCCAACTAATGAGCTCTATAAAGAATGTAAGGTCTTAACTGTGCGACAACTTTATTTCCTCCGAACAACACTGAAAGTTCATCGTACTGTTGTTAACACAGAGGAACACAGTAAATTGCTTGAACGTCGTGTTTACAAATTGTCATTGCCTACTGTCAAAACAAGTTTTGCTAGACGTTTTAGTCCATACAAAGATTTCTATATATATAACAGAATTACAAAGCTCTGCGATATAACGCTATGTTCTGTGGGGGAGGCTAAACTTAACATTACACAATGGTTGCTTTCTTTGACATACGACTATACAGAAGGTCTGTTGGTACACGTGACATAAATGTTGCGCATTATTCTTTGAGAATAATTTATTATATAACACATAACATATAAAGAACCCTAAACCAATATAGACACACACATTTAGTTATTTTTATCTTTATAATATTAACTATAAAATAACCTCATGCATGTATTTACCAACGCTGTTTTGTCAATATTATTGTTTTTAATTTTTAATAATTTTTCCTCTTTTTTTTTGTTGCCAACTCGTTTGGGACGGCAATTGTTTTCTTCCGAACGCATATTCGGATGTAATAGATTGCTGTCTCAAATATAAGCAAGTAACACTGTATACTTTAAATTGAAAACGACGATGTAATGTCTACCGAACAATAATGTAAAGCGAAATGTGTAATCGCAACTGGCACCCACAGGACAGGCTTAATGGGACTAATCCCACCCACACGCCCACCACTGTAACTCTTGTACACCAGAATCCACAGCAGTGACCCACGAACACACCGAGTTATGACACTCAGACAGTTATGGATTTACAGGACAGGCTTGCCTAGTGTGGGGCCACCGGCAATGTATCACATAAATGATAAATAAATAAAAAATCCCAGCCAGCAATCATTACTGCCATGCTGGCGAGTGAGGAGGGCTGGGGCGCAGTTGTTTCTGTGAAGCTGTAATGCGGCGTAATGAGGAGCCGACGGGACCGCGGGCCACGAGAGAGTGGGGACCTCTGGTGGCAGATTAATTGTTGCGGTAGGGGATAGGAAGACAGCCTGATCGCACTGAAAATGTGATGCTTTCCCTGAGATGGGGCCTAGTTAGGTGCGGCGTCAATCTGGGGTTCCTGAAATCACATACTCCTGGCTATTATATCCCCAAGGAGCCGGAGATCCGAGGGAATTTTCCACTCCGTCAACAAAAAAAAAAGCCTATCAAACAAATATAGATATCAAACATTGTGAACCTATTTAAATAATGATCTTCGCAATTTTATTTATGATAAAATGTCAAATCATTCCAGTCTTACAAATAGTATTCTACAACATATCCTTTAGTCCGAAAAAATCCCCATTCTATTATTTTAATTTTTGTTTACTTCACTCTTGAACGCTAAGTGCTCGCGCATTACCAATAACTACAAAGTTCAATGCTTTGATCACAAAAGCTGTGATTGTAGGTAGAGCTTATTGTAGCTAATCTAAAAACAGACACTTTTCACACTTTTTTGGATTAAAAAGTTGAATCTCCAAAGTAATAGGTGCGTGACATCACACAAAAGGCTAGTTGACTCAATTTAAAAACTTGGTTAATTATATACTTTATCCCAAAACCCCTATATTTTAAAGAAACAGCAATATTTACATTACGTATTTTGTATTTAAAAAATACAATTCAAATTTCCCTTGAAAACGCTGAATAGTGTCATGGTGTCTTGAATAGCGTCACAGTCTGCGAAACAAAACTGTTTACATCTGTGTCCAGTGTCAACTGAAACTGTATTAAGGTGAGAAAATATGCTAAAAAAAAACAATAAAGAGTAACCTGCTCTGTCTGCATGAAAACGTCAACAACAACAATGATGTTTTGCGTGGCGTGACGTAACACTTTCTGATTGGTGTTCACGTGACTTAATGCCTATTTTAATCGATTTTTTTTTTTTTAAATACTAATAATATTTCACTTTTATAAGAAATAGACTGTTTTTGTCTTATCTATGTCTCTTCATTTATAATTTGAAACTATAAGCCAAGCAATTTGTTATTAGTGGACACAAGCCTATTATTTATATTAATATGTAAAGAAAATTCTTTTTAACAAATATGGCGGTCGGTAGCCTTTCATATTTCGAATACTTAATGTTCATATATAATAGAAGTGCACAAAGCTATACCTGAGCTTAACAATATGTTGCATAAAATTAATAAATATATTTAAAACGGCCACATAAAATCGAGTATTGTAAACGACACCACTGAATCACACCACGGGAATGTTGTTTACAATTTTTCTTTTGCTTACGACACCACCGTAATGTAAATCTAACATAAAACTTATGTATTTATCGATATCAATAATTTTCCATTCATAATATCACAACCATGGCCATTTTGATTATGTGTAAATGTCAGAGTTACTTTCTAGATAGATAATAATAATAATAATATTAAACATTTATTTGCAAATATGGGTACAACAGTAAAGTTGTTACAAAGTAATTTACAAAGTAACAATGTAATTTTCGTTCCTTCATATTCCACCTTGTGGCTTACAAATATTTCAATATACTTTGGTTTATATTACAATTTCACTAAAACATTTCAAAAATAATTCATGAGTCACATCTTTTAACATCTGGTATAAATTTCAACTCGCTAGGTCTACCGTTCCTGAGAAAATCGGTGGTGACACTCGGACAGACGGACAAGAAAGTGATCTTATAAGGGTTCCTTTTTTACCTTTTGAGGTACGGAACCCTAAAAAATGAGAAATTGACCCTTAACGTTAACACTTTTATCAGTTTGATATTAAATTTATAATAAGGTTAATTGCTGTATCTGCATACTTATGTTCTCAAAAAAAAATAATCTTTATTAATTACAGGTAGAAATTATCTTCCACGGTGCAGCTACGGTCAGGTTTGATGAACCTCTGAAGACTGCAGTGGAGATCAACGTTAGAGGCACCAGGGAGATGTTCAAGTTGGCCAGGGGATGCGGCAAGCTGAAGGCTTTTGTACACGTATCTACCGCTTACAGGTAAGGACTTGCTGACATCATCAATATATTAGCAAGACCATCTTTTCCGTGTGGTGACGGATTAAGAATGCAGAGTGTCACCATCCCTATTCATCCCGTGGGTGTCGTAAGAGGCGACTAAGGGAGCAAACTACGCAGGACAACAGCACTGCAAAGAGAAGGAAAACTTGACACAAACCCTATACCAACCCGTCTGGCCAGCGTGGTGTAGTAGGCCAAAACCTTCTGTCTAAGGAGAGGCCTGTCTCCAGCAGCGGACTAGTAAAGGCTGTTGATGATGATCATTGATGATCTTTTCCTTATGGGGTTCAGGCTATTCTACTTATTAGAAAGATAACGATTAGCCATACAAAGCTGCAGTTTAAGTTTACGCCTAAATCAATAAATGAATTAACTTTCCTATGTCATAAAAACTTAATGAGGTTTTTTTAATAAAATTCTCAGTAATTTTAAGTCGATAGTTAAAGACTGTGGATAATAAGACTGCTCAGAGCGTACTGCTATTTTTCTATTGGAATTATTATTGCGAAAGCTTATATTTTACTAATAAATTACATTGTGAATAACTCGGGCCATTTTTTACTATGATTATTTAAAAAAGAAAGGTAGGTAATTCTTATTCTTATTATTAGTTTAAACTAATAATAACGTCGGGCTACACATATTGTGACTATGAAACTTGAAAAATGCAATTTGGAAAAAATAGCAACTTTACAGTTCAATCCGATAGATGCCGATAACTGTTGCAAAACGAAAAGTATACATATTTTTTTGTATTATTCCAGCAACTGTCCACAGCAAGCTATCGGGGAGAAGTTTTACGACATGCCCTTAGCTGGGGATAAGCTGATCGACTTGGTTGAGACCATGGATGAAAAGATAATAAACAACATTACTCCTGGGTAAGTTTAAATGTTTGATTAACATAATCACACTTTTTAGTTTGGTGAATCATTAAAGGATCATCATATTCCTGTCATTTTTTTCTTTGGCTGAGTGATGAGTCTTTGGCTTAGTCTTTGGCTGAGAGATTTGGCTGGTTTTTGTCCGTGTCGGTGACGGATTAAGAACATGGAGTGTTCATATCGTGGGTGTCGTAGGTGCCGCAAGCTACACAGGGGAACAGAGTTTTCACACACGGGGGGGTTCATAGATGGCCATCTACTTGTCTGTAGATGGCCCGAGGTATGTCGGGGCACCAGGGACTTCCTTTCTAGGGTATACCTGGTTCCCCAGCTATTAGTACCCGAGACGGCGTGCGGTTTTAGTCGGTTCGAGTCCGACATGCCACCGATAGGTGGTACCCGAGGGGATTTCCGCACGGGAAAAAAAAAGGGTAACAGAGTTAGGAGCGAAGATACTGCAAATTTTGGATGGGAAACGAACAAACTGAAGAGACCAGAAGGCCATCGACTTTCGATCTCACAACTGTCATAAATAGTATTCTCGTAGTATAGTATTAAACATTCAACGTTGACTGTAATGTGGTTATATCGTATTGCAACCAAAAATTGAATTGGTAATCTGCTAATCTGAGTAATACTTTACTATTTCCTATTGATAGTTAGGTATACCAACACGCTATAGTATTTCATATAAAATATCACGACGTCATCGTTTTTCACGTTTCATCATCAATAGCCTTTAATAGTCCACTGCTGGACATAAGCCTCTCCTTAGAAAGGAGGTTTTGGCCCACTATACCACGCTGGGCAGACGGTTTGGTATAGGGTTTGTCTCAAGTTTTCCTTCTCTCTGTAGTGCTGTTGTTCTGCGTAGTTTGCTTCCTTAGTCGCCTCTTACGACACCCACGGTTTAATAATAAGATACTGATATGACTTGACAGTCAACTACAACTACACAACTACTTGACGGTCGCCACGCCGCTTACTACTACGCTGAGTGTTGTGGGTCCGATCCCCACATGGGACGACACTTTGTGCCATTCACAAATTGTTGCTCTGAGTCTGGGAGTTCTTTTTTTCCGGTTTCATATATGTTGTAAAGTCCCCCGCGACGCAGTATATATTCCTAATGCGGGAGATTTCTTTAAAAAAAAAATACTATCTTTAGATTAGATTAGGCTAGGAGATGAAACAGATTTTATTTTAAATAATTATAGTAGTATTATCGACCATGAGGGGAAAGTTGATCTACGTAGGCAGATTACACTAATATTAATCCTGTAACCTATATATTTACTTATTGACATACACGTCAAAGTAATTTGTTGCATTTTATTTTCCATAAGGCGTTCCAAAATATCAAAATTACTGCCCACGTTCAAAGTAACACACAGTTTTCCCACAGAGGAAACAGTTTTACAGGGGGCTACTTAAACTGATATATTGTTTTTGTGCTTGGGCCTCCGGCTGTCGTTTCGGGAGGGATCCGGATAGAATAAAATTTATTATATACCAACATAATAAATAAATAAAAATCCTAATAATACGAGTAGTAAGTGGCGTGTAATAGGAGAGCAGTAGTAGACTTCGATAGGCTGATGATGATGATACACCATCATTTCTTTTTTTTGACGTGACAACGTCTTATAATTCGATGGAGCCGGCTGCACGCACGAAAAAACATGACTCATGCGGCGTTACCTCGCTCTGAGGCGTTCCATTTAAGGCTTGATGTGCAAGCGACAGCGCGGAACGAGCGACAAAGAGGCACAATCGGCCTCCGCGTTCGGTAGCGTTCGACATCTGTCTCTCTCCTACTTGAGTGAGCGATGCGTCCGCGTGGACAGCTGCTATACAATAATACATTTACATGTTTTCGTCAAGTATGAAGTGCAGTGAAAAGTGAATGTGGTGTCTTATGACGTTGTCAGGTTCAACTATCGTCAGTAAACCGACTTTACAGACAGCCGCTTGTTTTCACAAGAGTACATCAAATTAATAAACACACAAACGCAAATATTAGTACAAATAGCGGTAAAATCTCTTACAAGCAACTTTTGGATGGACAAGACAACTGTAAATACACGAATTCATTGTGTAGTTTTGGTGCGAAAAATTGAAAAATAATCATAACATTTTACAACAAAACTAACATAAAGAACCTAAAACGATGATATTTTTGTTTAAACCCTAATAGATCAATACATGAATTATATTTATCATCATCATCAACAACAGTCTTTTAATAGTCCACTGCTGGACATGGGCTTCTACTTAGAAAGGAGGTTTTGGACTACTATACCACGCTGGCCAGAAGGGTTGGTATAGGGGTTTGGGGTGCTGGGCTAGAAAACCTCCTCGTGGTGCACCCTGGAAACGCTGGCGATGGTACTGTTTCCTCCTTGTCCTCTTGGAGGAGAGGATTATCGCCAGCGGCCAATATTCTAGCAGAAGAGGCAGCCGTTCATCGGCTCTCGGGCAAGGCCTGGTCCAGCAGGGTGGGCGTGTCTGCCGGTTGCCCTGCTGGCTCTTCGCTCTTCGGAGCATGGAGGAGGAAACCTCGGTAAAAAACCTGATGGCGGGGCCCTGTAGGGGCCACAGTTTCTCCGCTGATAGCGGTGGAGAAAGGAGGACGGGCTCGGCGTGTACTCACACTACCACCGAGCAGGCAGGGGGACGTAGTCTCCCTGTCAACCGTCGGCATATCGTAATCCCGAGAAGAGCGCTGTGGTTAAGTCTCGCGGCTCTGATCGGGGGCGAGGGTCTTGGCTTAACCGCCCGGACCGCGAGGAAGATAACCTCTCTAAAAAATTCCCCGAATCCCGTGTTCTGGTGCGTGGCCAGGGGATGCATGGCTGATGGGAAGTTCAGTCGCGAGCGCACTCCAAGCCGAGGTACCTGCGGACCCCTCGGTTGGGTTAAAAACTTACGCTTGCCCGGGTAATGGGGGATCTCTGCCCGGGTGGACCTTTAGTTCTCCCCCACTCGTGGGATTAAATATGGAAAAAATTCAAAACCTTAAAACACAAAAAACGATCGGAAATAACCAACAACAGAAGGCAAGTCTAACGGAAACGAAGAAAACGAAGGGAAGGAAGGAGAAGCAGAACAGTGGAGCGGATGGGTCGTCCACTGAGGGTGAGGTGGCGTCGGGGACGCCTATCTCTATGGGGCTCCCAGAAGTCAGTCTGACGCTGGTCTCTGGGAGCCGAAGAGCATCAGATCGGCTGCGCTCCGGATCCGCCGTTTCGTCGGATGGCGCTGACGCCATGGAGGCGGAGCGAAGCGACAGCCGGAAACGAGGACGCTCCAGGGACGAGGAAACCGACACGTCCCAGGAGATGATGCCACCGAAGGTGGCAAGCAGCCGCCGAGGGAGGGCACGCAAACCTGCCTCGGCCCCGGTCTCGACCCCGTCAGGCTCCGCGTTCTCAAACGCGGAGTCGTACAGGAATGTACGAGTGGACGGCGAGGCCGTAGCGGAGGAGGAGATCGCGGATCTCCTGCTCAAGGTTCGGGAGCCGGTGGGGGGAAATGCCCCCCAGGCTTCCGTGTCCGTGCAGGAGAGGGCGAAAGCGGCGGTGGCCGTCATCCACAAGGTGGCCACCAAGTCCGTGAACCTTAAGGGCTCGTTTGTGAGGGCCCTTAAGGACTCCTCCTCCGCTTTGTCGGAGGTCGTGGAGAGCCTAGTGGGCGATGTGTCTCGCCTGCAGGTGGCCAACGAGAGGCTGACGGAGCGGGTGAACGAGCTGAGCGCTCAGTTCGCCCGCTTCCAGGCGAACCTCCCCGAGCGGGAAGCCCCGTCCGCGTCCCAGCCTGCCCCTACTACCAACTCAGGGGCATTTGACTCCCAACTGCGAGAAATCCTCATCGCAGTTGGGAATATGCTGGACGGACGCCTGGCTGGCCTGGAGGCGAGATTGCCTCCTGCGCCGAGTATGCGCCCCCCGCTCGCGTCGACACAGCGGCCTAAGGCCGCCGCTCCGACCGCGCTCCCCGTAGTGGGAGGCCGCGTCTCCTACGCGGCGGCGGCGTCTGCCCCGACTCCATCGGCTCCCCAAAAGCCGAGGAGGGGGGCCAAGGCACCGGCCCAGGCGCCGGCCAAGGCACCGTCCCAGGCGCCGGCCAAGGCGCAGGCCAAAGTGCCGGCCAAGACGGGGCCTAAAACGGCGCCGAGGAGCGGAGTGGCATTCCCTCCGCTCCCCACTCCGACACCCCTGCCGGGCCCCTCCGCACCTGCCCCCTCCAACGAGGGCTGGCAGGAGGCGAGGGGCTCCAAGAAGTCCCGAAGGCGGGCCAGAAGGGCTGCCCAAAAAGCAGCCCAAGCCCAGCCTTCGCCACCGGTGGCAACGGCCTCTGCAAAGAGGCCGCGGAAGCTGCAGCCGCCCAAAACCGCGGCTGTAGTGGTGACCCCGGAGGCGGCTGACGGCGGGCTGTCCTACGCGGCCGTTTTTTAAAAAGGCCCGGGACAGCCTCGCCAACGACTTCGGGACGGTGGGGGTCAGGATGCGCCTCGCCCAAACGGGAGCTCGAGTTCTCGAGTTCCCAGGGGCTGAAGGCGCCAAGACGGCGGACACTTTCGCTGAGAGGCTGCGGGGTTTATTCGCGGCCACAGATGGTGTCAAGATCGCCAGGCCTACCAAGTGCGCGGAGCTGCGCATCTCGGGCCTGGACGACTCTGTGACGGCCGAAGATGTCCGCGCTGTAATCCGGGAGAAGACGGGGTGCAGCGCGGACAACGTCAGGGTCGGCACCATCCGCCCCGGTCCAGGGGGGCTTGGCGCCGTGTGGGTCAGCTGTCCCGTAGCGTCGGCCAAAGTATTGGCCGACGCCGGCAGGCTGCTCATCGGTTTCGTGAGCGCTAGGATCACAGTCCTGGCGGCGAGACCGATGAGGTGTTACAAATGCCTAGCATCGGGGCACACGCGCGTCAAGTGCCAAAGCTGCTTCGACTGCAGCGGACTATGTTTCCGCTGTGGTCGACCGGGGCATGTGGCGGTGGAATGCTCTGCCGCCCCTCACTGCCCGGTGTGTGCGGCGGGTAACAAGCCCGCCAATCATCAGATGGGGCAGGGGGGCTGCAAGCCTCCCCGCAACTCTCAGCAAGCATCGGGGGCTAGCCAGTCGACCCAGGCTGCCTCCGATGTAGTTCGTGCGTCGACGTCGTCGCCCATGGAGGAGGCTGTAGAGACGATCCAGTAATGGATCGGGTCTCCAGCCTCCTGGTCCAGACGAACCTGAACCACTGTGCCGCGGCGCAGGATCTCTTCCTGCAAACCATGGCACAGTGGTCGATAGGTGTTGCCGTAGTCGCGGAGCCCTATTCTGTCCCTCCCCGTCCAAACTGGATGGGTGACTGGGACGGCTCCGTGGCAGTCGTCGGTTCCACGACGGCTCATTCCCCGCCCTTGTCGCTAAGAGACAAGGGTACTGGATATGTTGCCGTCGAGTGGGGGGGGATCACCATATATGGTGTTTATTTCTCCCCCAACCGGAGTTTGAACGACTTCGAGGTTTTCCTAACCAGCTTGGAGACCTCGATACGGCGACTAGCGTCTGGGCACGTCCTTGTGCTGGGGGACTTCAACGCAAAGTCCATTGCGTGGGGTTCCCCCAGGACGGACGCAAGGGGCGAGGCCGTAGAGGAGTGGGCGGCCTCGGTGGGCCTCTGTCTTCTAAACAGAGGCTCCACCAACACGTGCGTGCGACAGCAGGGGGGGTCGATAGTGGACCTCTCGTTCGCTACCCCTGCCCTCGCCGCACGAGTAAGGAACTGGTGTGTCCTGGAAGAGGTTGAGACGCTCTCGGATCACCTGTATATCCGATTTGAGCTCTCCCGGACCCAGGACTCCAGTAGGGGTCACGTGGCGCGGCGTTTATCCCGCTTTCCGCGGTGGGCTGTTGCCAGACTGAACCGGGACCTACTAGAGGAGGCAGCCATAATTCACTCGTGGCTGTCTCCTCAGGCTCCGACCGAGGAGGTCGACGTGGGGGCTGGCCGCTTTCGCGATGCGATTACGCATATCTGCGATGCGGCCATGCCCCGCATTCGAGGTCGTCGGCCTCCAAGGAAGGAGGTCTACTGGTGGTCCCAGGAGCTGGCGGACCTCCGTGCGGCCTGTACACGTGCCCGGAGGTCCTACACACGCAGTCGTCGGCGTCACCGTGGAGACGGTGAGGAGGACCGGCTTCATGAGGAGTACCGGCGGGCGCGGAAAACTCTGAAGCTGGCCATTAGCCGCGCCAAAGAGGAAAAGAGACAGGAGATGCTGGAGGGTCTTAATCGTGACCCCTGGGGTCGCCCTTACCGCGCGGTGCGACAAAAGCTCCGCGCGTCGGGCCCCCCCCTTACGGAGACTCTCCAGCCCAGCTTCCTGCAGGAAGTGGTCGAGGGCCTATTCCCGCAGCGGGCGGAGCACACACCCCCGTCAATGGCTGCATCAGCCGGAGACGACGGGGTCAGCGAGGTCGATGTTCCGCCCGTCAGGGAATCGGAGTTGGGGGCGGCTGTTCTACGGATTCGATCCAAGAACACCGCCCCCGGGCCGGACGGGGTTCCAGCCCGAGTGATGGCCCGAGCCCTCGACTACATGTCGGACCACCTCAGGGGGGTGTTGGACGCTAGCCTGGCGTCCGGACGCTTCCCTGAGTGCTGGAAATGCGGGAAGCTGGTCCTGCTGCAGAAGCCGGGACGGCCTGCCGATTCGGTCGCGGCCTATAGGCCCATCGTGCTGCTGGACGAGGCGGGCAAATTGTTTGAGAGGGTTCTTTCTGCCCGCATCGTCCGGCACCTCTGCGAGGTGGGCCCCGATCTGTCGGACGCCCAATTTGGTTTTCGGGCGGGGCGTTCGACAGTCGACGCCGTGTTGCGCCTGAGGGCCGTGACCGAAGAGGCAGTGAGCTGTGGCGGCGTGCTGTTGGCGGTGTCATTAGACATCGCCAACGCATTCAATAGTCTGCCATTCAGCTGCATCAGGGAAGCACTCCACTATCATGGGGTGCCAAAGTACCTGAGGCGGCTAGTGGCAGACTACTTAGAGGAGCGTACCGTCGTGTACGAGGACCGAGAAGGTAATTTGAGGAGTCGGCCCATGTCGTGCGGTGTTCCACAGGGGTCTGTTCTTGGACCCCTCTTGTGGAACATAGGGTACGACTGGGCCCTTCGCGCCGATTTCCCCCCCGGGCTGGGTGTAATCTGTTACGCAGACGATACCCTCGTGACAGCCCGGGGGGCAAACTTCCAAGAGGCGGCGCGCCTGGCCACAGGGGGAGTCTCCCTGGTGGTCGGGCGCATTGAGGCGCTGGGCTTACGGGTGGCCCTAGATAAGACGGAGGCCCTGTTATTTCATGGGCCCCGTCGTGGTCCACCCCCTGGCGCCTCAATCGTGGTCAACTCGGTCCTCGTACCGGTTCGGGCCCAGATGAAATATCTGGGCCTGATCCTCGACGGGAGGTGGCTCTTCGACGAGCACTTCCGACAGCTTGCTCCAAAGCTGGTCGGCGCTGCGTCTGCCCTAGGGCGACTTCTGCCCAATATGGGTGGACCCAGCGTCGCGACAAGACGGCTGTACACGGGGGTTGTCCGGTCAATGGCACTGTACGGTGCACCGGTGTGGGCGGCGGCTCTGACCGCCCAGAATAGGGTACGCCTCTGGCGCCCTCAGAGGGTAATGGCGGTCAGAGCCATACGCGGTTACCGCACCGTTTCGACGGAGGTGGCATGCGCATTGGCCGGAACTCCCCCGTGGGATTTGGAGGCGGAAGTGCTCGCCGAAGTTTATCGGCGAGTGGCTGACTTCCGGGCGGAGAGCGGATTTCGCCCTCCGCCCGAGGATGTGCGCGAGTGGCGCGAAGCCGCTCGCCGAGCCACGATGGCTCGTTGGTCGTTCCGGCTGGAGACTCCACGCGCTGGCTTCGCCGCCGTGGAGGCTCTCCAGCCGGTCATCGCCGAGTGGGCAGGGCGGCAGCACGGGACCCTTTCCTTCCGGCTGACGCAGGTGCTTTCCGGGCACGGTTGCTTCGGAAAGTACCTGCACACGGTCGCAAGGAGGGAACTGAGTCCCGCCTGCCACCACTGCGACTGCAGTGAGGACTCGGCCCAGCACACGCTGGCGGTCTGCCCCGCATGGGCGGCGCAGCGCCGGGCCCTCACTGCAGTCATCGGAGTGGATCTCTCGCTACCGGCCGTAGTACGCTCCATGGCCGGTAGCGACAGTTGTTTTTACCGCGGTCGCTACCTTCTGCGAGGTAGTAATCTCGCGGAAGGAGGCGGCGGAGAGGGCCCGGGAGGACGACCTCCACTCGGACCCGATCCGCCGCCGGCGAACCGGGCGGCGGAGGCCCGCCTACCACAGCCTCATGCCGCCCTGAGTGTGGCCGCGGGTGGACGGGGTGGGTTTCCCCTCCACCCGCATTAGTTGGCCAGCCGCGAGGGGGCGGCGTCCGCGTGTGCCGGACGTCGCCTAAAGAGAGGAAAATGTATTGAGACGGAGCCCGCACCAGGAGCGGGCTGGCGCTAGGAGGGGTCCGGATGTCTTAACAACAGCTGTTCCCGGATCCCTCCTGTTACAGGCGCAGAGTGGCACACCGTGTGGTTTTAGTCGGTCCGAGTCCGACACACCACCCCGCCGCAAACCCCGGAGGGGTGACGGTCCGAGGGGATTTCCACACGTTAAAAAAAAAAAAAAAAAGGGTTTGTTTTCAAGTTTTCCTTCTCTTTGCAGTTCAACTATTAGATACTACTTATTTAAATTATTGCTGAAATACATTGCTTAAAATAAAATTTATTTTCCAGACTGTTAGGGGAATACCCGAATACTTACGCCTACACGAAAGCTGCAGGTGAAGACATAGTACAGACGTACTCCAAGGGTCTTCCCGTGGCTCTCTTCAGGCCTTCTATCGGTAAGAAAATAACAATCAGAACAAATTATTTCGTGTGTGGTATTCGTATTTACTACTGGGGACATAGCGTGAGTTTATTTCACTTCTACTGGATCGTGACGGTGTTGTGATTGGCCTGCACTGAAATCTCCACCAATCGCAACGCGCTCGCCGTAGAGAACGAGTCGATGTGAAATAAACTTGCCCTCGGCCCTCTGAAATCTTAACCAATCGCAACGTCGAACGCGCTCGCTGACGAGAGCGACTTAATGTGCCATAAACTTGCACTAGGGCCTCTGTATGCTTTTTCTTACGTATGTTTGAACTGTGCCTGACACACTCACAACTGGACGAAACTCTTCAAAAGACGGCCCCGTCACTTACAAACCTAATCTAATCTAACTAAAGCCGAGGATACATAATTAATAATAATTATAACTTTATGTAGTTGGCTCTAAGTACTGGTACTATGGCCGCGGGTCGCAAGAGAATTGGGACCTCTGGTGTCAAATTAGGGGCTGTAGTAGGTGATAGGGTAGCGGCCTGTTAGTGACAGGTGAGGCCATCTGTCACCCTAGCAGAAGCAGGCCGGTGTGGCGGCGAGCGCGATGCGAAGCGCGCTCGCCTCTAGGGAGCACAGGGAACATGGGGTTCCCACACGGGGGGGGGGGGTCGTCTACTCGTCTGTAGATGACCCGAGGTATGTCGGGGCACCAGGGACTTCCTTTCTAGGGTATACCTGGTTCCCCAGCTATTAGTACCCGAGACGGCGTGCGGTTTTAGTCGGTTCGAGTCCGACATGCCACGGTAGCGGCCTGATTGCACCAAGATGCGTCGTGGCCGCAACGTAATGATTGGGCCGGGTGTACCTTCCCCAATATAGGGCCTGTATTGGCGTGACTTCGATTAGCGGGTTCTTATTCTTCACAGAGTATATCTTTTTGTTACGCTGTTTCAGAATCAGAAAGACAAAACTCTATTTTTAAAGGATAGGTGTTGTAATTTAAATTGTTTCAGTTTCGTTTGTTTAAAAGGGGAAAGAGTTAGCTCTAATTCGAGGAAAATAATTTGAGCTGTTTACTAATCATCAAATCTTTTTTAAATAATTTAGGACCTAAATTTTTGGGCTTCTTTGAGTGAGGCAATTCATTGTTAAATGTATGCTCTTTTTATTTTTAGTTATTGCAACAGTGAAAGAGCCTGTAGCCGGCTGGATCGATAACGTGTATGGACCTACTGGGGTGAGCGATATTTTTATATTTGATGCAAATGATTTATTTTATTAAAATAATATTTAAAAAAAAAAAATATTAAAAAATATTATAATAACACTTTATCAAGAAAAGGGGAAATTGTATGAAACCATAAAATTGGGTAATGGTATGGAAACTAACTACAAGATACAAGAACCATTTAATCCTATGGCGTAACAATTTTGACCAGATTTTGAACTAGTAATTAAATATATCCTTTTATCACAATGTTAATAAAATCCGTTCCTTATCAGGTGGTCGTCGGAGCAGCCGTTGGTCTTGTTCACGTATTGAACTGCAACCCAAAAGCAATAGCCGACTTGGTCCCAGGAGACATGGTGGTGAATGCCTGTATAGCAGCTGCGTGGAAGACTGCCAAAGAATATCCAGCAAACCACGAAGACGCGCCCCCTCCGGATCTTTCTCCTCCAGTTTATAACTATGTGTCTTCGGAAGAGAGGCCATTGACTTGGGGTAAGTTGTGAATACAATTTTTTAATTGTTCCCCAAATTATCATCAACAGCCTTTAATAGTCTACTGCTGAACATAAGCCAATCCTTAGAAAGGAGGTGTTGGCCTACTATACCACGCTGGCCAGACGGGTTGGTATAGGGTTTGTGTACTTACGCTTGCCCGGGTAATGGGGGATCTCTGCCCGGGTGGACCTTTAGTTCTCCCCCACTCGTGGGATCAATTATGGACAATAATCAAACTCAATCAAAGAAAACGATCGGAACAAAACAACAACCAAAGGCAAGTCTAACGGCAACGAAGGAAACGAATTCAAGGAAGGAAAAGAAGAACAGTGGAGCGGATGGGTCGTCCACTGAGGGCGAGATGGTGTCGGGAACGCCTATCTCGATGGGGCTCCCAGAGGTCAGTCTGACTCTGGTCACTGGGAGCCGAAGAGCATCGGATCGGCTGCGTTCCGGATCCGCCGCTTCATCGGATGGCGCGGAGGCCATGGAAGCGGAGCGGAGCGACAGCCGGAAACGCGGACGCTCAGGGGACGTGGAATCCGACACGTCCGGCGAAATGATGCCACCAAAGGTGGCAAGCAGCCGCCGAGGGAGGGCGCGCAAACCGGCCTCGGCCCCGGTCTTAACCCCGTCAGGCTCCGCGTTCTCAAACGCGGAGTCCTACAGAAGTGTACGGGTGGACGGCGAGGCCGTAGCGGAGGAGGAGATCGCGGATCTCCTGCTCAAGGTTCGGGAGCCGGTGGGGGGAAATGCCCCCCAGGCTCCCGTGTCCGTGCAGGAGAGGGCGAAAGCGGCGGTGGCCGTCATCAACAAGGTGGCCACCAAATCCGTGAACCTTAAGGGCTCGTTTGTGAGGGCCCTTAAGGACTCCTCCTCCGCTTTGTCGGAGGTCGTGGAGGGCCTAGCGGGCGACGTCTCTCGCCTGCAGGTGGCCAACGAGAAGCTGACGGAGCGGGTGAACGAGCTGAGCGCTCAGTTCGCCCGCTTCCAGGCGAACCTCCCCGAGCGGGAAGCCCCGTCCGCGTCCCAGCCTGCCCCTACCACCAACTCAGGGGCATTTGACTCCCAACTGCGAGAAATCCTCATCGCAGTTGGGAATATGCTGGACGGACGCCTGGCTGGCCTGGAGGCGAGACTGCCCCCTGCGCCGAGTATGCGCCCCCCGCTCGCGTCGGCACAGCGGCCTAAGGCCGCCGCTCCGACCGCGCTGCCCGTAGTGGGAGGCCGCGTCTCCTACGCGGCGGCGGCGTCTGCCCCGACTCCATCGGCTCCCCAAAAGCCGAGGAGGGGGGCCAAGGCACCGGCCCAGGCGCCGGCCAAGGCACCGGCTAAGGCGCCGGCCAAGGCACATCCCCAGGCGCCGGCCAAGACGGGGCCTAAAACGGCGCCGAGGAGCGGAGTGGCATTCCCTCCGCTCCCCACTCCCACACCCCTGCCGGGCCCCTCCGCACCTGCCCCCTCCAACGAGGGTTGGCAGGAGGCGAGGGGCTCCAAGAAGTCCCGAAGGCGGGCCAAAAAGGCTGCCAAAAAAGCAGCCCAGGCCCAGCCTTCGCCACCGGTGGCAACGGCCTCCACAAAGAGGCCGCGGAAGCTGCAGCCGCCCAAAACCGCGGCTGTAGTGGTGACCGTGTCCCCGGAGGCGGCGGACGGCGGGCTGTCCTACGCGGCCGTCTTCAAAAAGGCCCGGGACAGCCTCGCCAACGACTTCGGAACGGTGGGGGTCAGGATGCGCCTCGCCCAGACGGGAGCTCGAGTTCTCGAGTTCCCTGGGGCTGAAGGCGCAAAGACGGCGGACTCCTTCGCTGAGAAGCTGCTGGGAATATTTGCAGCCACAGATGGTGTCAGGGTCGCCAGGCCTACCAAGTGCGCGGAACTGCGCATCTCGGGCCTGGACGACTCAGTGACGGCCGAAGATGTCCGCGCTGTAATCCGGGAGAAGACGGGGTGCAGCGCGGACAACGTCAGGGTCGGCACCATCCGCCCCGGTCCAGGAGGGCTTGGCGCCGTGTGGGTCAGCTGTCCCGTAGCGTCGGCCAAAGTATTGGCCGACGCCGGCAGGCTGCTCATCGGTTTCGTGAGCGCCAGGATCACAGTCCTGGCGGCGAGACCGATGAGATGCTACAAATGCCTGGCATCGGGACACACGCGCGTCAAGTGTGACAGTTGTTTTGACTGCGGCGGACTGTGTTTCCGCTGCGGTCAACCGGGGCATAAGGCGGCAGAATGCTCTGCCGCCCCTCACTGCCCAGTGTGTGCGGCGGGCAATAAGCCCGCCAATCACCAGATGGGGCAGAGAGGCTGCAAGCCTCCCCGCAGTTCTCGGCAGACGTCGGGGGTTAGCCAGTCGACCCAGGCTGCCTCCGATGTAGTTCGTGCGTCGACGTCGTCGCCCATGGAGGAGGTTGTAGAGACGATCCAGTAAAGGATCAAGTCTCCAACCTCCTGGTCCAGACGAACCTGAACCACTGTGCCGCGGCGCAGGATCTCTTCCTGCAAACCATGGCACAGTGGTCGATAGGTGTTGCCGTAGTCGCGGAGCCCTATTCTGTCCCTCCCCGTCCAAACTGGATGGGTGACTGGGACGGCTCCGTGGCAGTCGTCGGTTCCACGACGGCTCATTCCCCGCCCTTGTCGCTAAGAGACAAGGGCACTGGATATGTTGCCGTCGAGTGGGGGGGGATCACCATATATGGTGTCTATTTCTCCCCCAGCCGGAGTTTGAACGACTTCGAGGTTTTCCTAATCAGCTTGGAGACCTCGATACGGCGACTAGCGTCTGGGCACGTCCTTGTGCTGGGGGACTTCAACGCAAAGTCCATTGCGTGGGGTTCCCCCAGTACGGACGCCAGGGGCGAGGCCGTAGAGGAGTGGGCGGCCTCGGTGGGCCTCTGTCTTCTAAACAGAGGCTCCACCAACACGTGCGTGCGACAGCAGGGGGGGTCGATAGTGGACCTCTCGTTCGCTACCCCTGCCCTCGCCGCACGAGTAAGGAACTGGCGTGTCCTGGAAGAGGTTGAGACGCTCTCGGATCACCTGTATATCCGATTTGAGCTCTCCCGGACCCAGGACTCCAGTAGGGGTCACGTGGCGCGGCGTTTATCCCGCTTTCCGCGGTGGGCTGTTGCCAGGCTGAACCGGGACCTACTAGAGGAGGCAGCCATAATTCACTCGTGGCTGTCTCCTCAGGCTCCGACCGAGGAGGTCGACGTGGGGGCGGGCCGCTTTCGCGATGCGATTACGCATGTATGCGATGCGGCCATGCCCCGCGTTCGAGGTCGTCGGCCTCCAAGGAAGGAGGTCTACTGGTGGTCCCAGGAGCTGGCGGACCTCCGTGCGGCCTGTACACGTGCCCGGAGGTCCTACACACGCAGTCGGCGGCGTCACCGTGGAGACGGTGAGGAGGACCGGCTTCATGAGGAGTACCGGCGGGCGCGGAAAACTCTGAAGCTGGCCATTAGCCGCGCCAAAGAGGAAAAGAGACAGGAGATGCTGGAGGGTCTTAATCGTGACCCCTGGGGTCGCCCTTACCGCGCGGTGCGACAAAAGCTCCGCGCGTCGGGCCCCCCCCTTACGGAGACTCTCCAGCCCAGCTTCCTGCGAGAAGTGGTTGAGGGCCTTTTCCCACAACGAGCGGAACACACTCCCCCGTCGATGGCCTCCCTGGCCGGAGACGACGGGGAGCACGGGGAGGACAATGTTCCGCCCGTCCGGGATTCGGAGGTAGGGGCGGCTGTTCTACGGATCCGTTCCAAGAACACCGCCCCTGGGCCAGACGGGGTACCGGCCCGAGTGCTGGCCCTGGCCCTCAACCACATGGCAGACCGCCTCGGGGAGGTGTTCGACGCTAGCTTGGCGTCGGGACGCTTCCCTGAGTGCTGGAAAAGCGGGAAGCTGGTCCTATTGAGGAAGCCGGGACGGCCAGCCGATTCGGTCGCGGCCTATAGGCCCATCGTGCTGCTGGACGAGGCGGGCAAATTGTTTGAGAGGGTTCTTTCTGCCCGCATCGTCCGGCACCTCTGCGAGGTGGGCCCCGATCTGTCGGACGCCCAGTTTGGTTTTCGGGCGGGGCGTTCGACAGTCGACGCCGTGTTGCGCCTGAGGGCCGTGACCGAAGAGGCCGTGAGCTGTGGCGGCGTGCTGTTGGCGGTGTCACTGGACATCGAAAACGCATTCAATATTCTGCCATTCAGCTGCATCAGGGAAGCACTCCACTATCATGGGGTGCCAAAGTACCTGAGGCGGCTAGTGGCAGACTATTTAGAGGAGCGTACCGTCGTGTACGAGGACCGAGAAGGTAATCTGAGGTGTCGGCCCATGTCGTGCGGTGTTCCACAGGGGTCTGTTCTTGGACCCCTCTTGTGGAACATAGGGTACGACTGGGCCCTTCGCGCCGATTTCCCCCCCGGGCTGGGTGTAATCTGTTACGCAGACGATACCCTCGTGACAGCCCGGGGGGCAAACTTCCAAGAGGCGGCGCGCCTGGCCACAGGGGGAGTCTCCCTGGTGGTCGGGCGCATTGAGGCGCTGGGCTTACGGGTGGCCCTAGATAAGACGGAGGCCCTGTTATTCCATGGGCCCCGTCGTGGTCCACCCCCTGGCGCCTCAATCGTGGTCAACTCGGTCCTCGTACCGGTTCGGGCCCAGATGAAATATCTGGGCCTGATCCTCGACGGGAGGTGGCTCTTCGACGAGCACTTCCGACAGCTTGCTCCAAAGCTGGTCGGCGCTGCGTCTGCCCTAGGGCGACTTTTGCCCAACATGGGTGGACCCAGCGTCGCGACAAGACGGCTGTACACGGGGGTTGTCCGGTCAATGGCACTGTACGGTGCACCGGTGTGGGCGGCGGCTCTGACCGCCCAGAATAGGGTACGCCTCTGGCGCCCTCAGAGGGTAATGGCGGTCAGAGCCATACGCGGTTACCGCACCGTTTCGACGGATGTGGCGTGCGCGTTGGCCGGAACTCCCCCGTGGGATTTGGAGGCGGAAGTGCTCGCCGAAGTTTATCGGCGAGTGGCTGACTACCGGGCGGAGAGCGGATTTCGCCCTCCGCCCGAGGATGTGCGCGAGTGGCGCGAAGCCGCTCGCCGAGCCACGATGGCTCGTTGGTCGTTCCGGCTGGAGACTCCACGCGCTGGCTTCGCCGCAGTGGAGGCTCTCCAGCCGGTCATCGCCGAGTGGGCAGGGCGGCAGCACGGGACCCTTTCCTTCCGACTGACGCAGGTGCTTTCCGGGCACGGTTGCTTCGGAAAGTACCTGCACACGGTCGCTAGGAGGGAACTGAGTCCCGCCTGCCACCACTGCGACTGCAGTGAGGACTCGGCCCAGCACACGCTGGCGGTCTGCCCCGCATGGGCGGCGCAGCGCCGGGCCCTCACTGCAGTCATCGGAGTGGATCTCTCGCTACCGGCCGTAGTACGCTCCATGGCCGGTAGCGACAGTTGTTTTACCGCGGTCGCAACCTTCTGCGAGGTAGTAATCTCGCGGAAGGAGGCGGCGGAAAGGGCCCGGGAGGACGACCTCCACTCGGACCCGATCCGCCGCCGGCGAACCGGGCGGCGGAGGCCCGCCTACCACAGCCTCATGCCGCCCTGAGTGTGGCCGCGGGTGGACGGGGTGGGTTTCCCCTCCACCCGCATTAGTTGGCCAGCCGCGAGGGGGCGGCGTCCGCGTGTGCCGGACGTCGCCTAAAGAGAGGAACATCTATATTGAGACGGAGCCCGCACCAGGAGCGGGCTGGCGCTAGGAGGGGTCCGGATGTCTTAACAACAGCTGTTCCCGGATCCCTCCTGTTACAGGCGCAGAGTGGCACACCGTGTGGTTTTAGTCGGTCCGAGTCCGACACACCACCCCGCCGCAAACCCCGGAGGGGTGACGGTCCGAGGGGATTTCCACACGTTAAAAAAAAAAAAAAAAAAAAAGGGTTTGTGTCAAGTTTTCCTTCTCTCTGCAGTGCTGTTGTTCTGCGTAGTTTTTTCCCTTAGTCGGCACGTCACACTCTGTATTCTTAATTCGTCACCACACGAACCACGGACCACAGCTATTATCCATTGCCACTTAATGTTACTTATGATACTCTCTAAGAACTACGTTAAATCAGAAAAAATATTACTTACCACATCTGACCCAATGTATCTTAATGGTTCTCGATGAAGAATTCTATATGCTAATTTTCTCGAAAACTTTCGTTGCGCGATTTGGGATTAGTAGCTTTCTTGGTGTAGTATAAGTTTCATTTAAACTCCTGCACTTTTGTCTTAGCTTCTTCACCTTATACGTTTTTCTCCCCCTACTGTTAATCTTTAAATTCATAAGCAGTGTTGGTGTCAGGCTGGTTATAGCAGAAAACAGTCAAAACTTTGAGCAATGTAAAAAATAATAAAAAATAGAAATAGTTTATGGACCAGAAAGGCGACCACAACTGACTCTGCATATAAGTGGTCTCCCTAGGGGTCGATTGCAACGGATCAAGCTACAGAATTATCTTGTACCCCAAAAATTTACTAACTGACCAAGAAGGCGATGACGATGATGTTAATTTATTTTTCAGAGAGATTCATGAAATACAACGAGATTTACGGCTTCCAAGTACCGACGGTTCAGGCAATATACTACTACCTGTTCTACCTGACTGCCTCTAAGTTCATGTACAACCTCTACTGTTTCCTCTTACACTGGATCCCCGCTTATATCGCCGATGGAATCGCTATTATGATTGGGAAGAAACCGATGTAAGTTTTTTATTTTATGGTACAAGGGTCATTAAAAAAAATAACAATAAAGTTTTTGTAAATAAACAAAGTAATTTCTAAAACACAATACGGTGCCATCTGCTGGAGAAAATTGTAGATCGAACTTTGCCATAATCCATTCGAACTCATGATTCAAACACACAAAATAACTACAGTAAAAAGTCAGATAAGAATCCTAGAACCCCTAGAATTCCTAGAAGTATTAAAGAGATCAATAAATAATCCAAGGGAAGCCGTATCTGGCATTAATTCACTTAATTCACACTTCATCAAAAACACACACAAAAGAGTCAGCAAAAGCTGGGCGTCATTGGACGGAGTTAAATCCAATGACTTTGTTAAAACCACAAGGTTCTTAAAAAGTATCTTAAAGAATTCTTTCGCATATCGTTGTCCTGAAAAAAAATCGTAAGTTAGTCGCTTTTCCAGAAGCGAAAGGGCCTATCGGCAAATATCATTACAAATATCTGCTTGATAAACAACCTTGTTACGCTCACAACATAGTGTCCAGGTGGAGCTGAGAGTTAAGAAGAAACAAATCAACACACCCTAATACCAGTCACAAATATCTATTGAACGAAGTGAAAAGAATCTGCTTAAAAGCACTTAAATTCAAAAGTCATGGCTGCCATGTGAATATAAGCTGTGGCAAGTTCGTAACAATAAAACTGTATTTACACGCTTTAAATTACGAGTAGTTGCACTTGTATGTTTGTTTGTATGATTGTAACGACTTCTTTGGGCGTGATTTTGACTGACTTTAAACGGTCAAAATTCGTTCAAACTTTGTAGATATATCGAGGACCGATGACAATACACTAATTTAAAAAACTTTTTTACTATTGACAACAGGCACCCAACGCTTTTTTTCAAATTTATTTTCAATTTTTTAGTTTGGTTTTCTATAGAAAGCGTGTTTTTTTAGTTTTTTTAAACTATATATTATTATTTTTTAAATTATTGACATTTTTTTCAACAGGTTAAGAAAAGCGTATTCAAAAATAGCGAAATTCTCCGACGTGTTGGCATACTTCGCGACCAGAGATTGGAAGTTCGACAATCGCAATGTTAAAAATCTTTTCAAAGAGCTTTGCGACGCTGATAAACAAATCTTTGACTTCAACATGGAGACCTTGGACTGGAACGATTACTTCTACAATTACATTCGAGGTGTTAGAGTTTATCTCCTCAAGGATCCAGTAGAAACTGTACCAGCTGGTCTCAAAAAATATAATAGATTAAGGATACTCCACTACACGTTCTGTTCCATCTTAGTGTTGTTATGCCTAAGACTAGCCTACGGGGTTTTGCACAGTATTTTAGGTTTTTAGATTAAAATTGTGTGCAGTGGTTTGTTATTAATTTGGTAGATTAATTATGTTATTTAGCATTATATCATTTCAGCTTTAGATAGATAAGCAATCTGGTTAAATAAACAACTAAGATTGGTGCTCTCCATTCCTCTTCTGAGTCATCAGAACCGTAGAAATCTATAGTAATAGTATCTATTATACATATTATTATTTATTGTATTCTTCATATAATACTCATCCGTATACTTTTTAATGTTTACTCAATATCAAATCACGCTCACGTAGACCGGCATTAAGTCCGCCTCTGTATGTTATTATTGGGTATTGATAAAGTATTAAATAAATCAATAAACAATCCAAGAGACGACGTATCTTTCAATAGTCAGAAAACTGTAAATTGTAAAGCATTCATCAAAAACCTATAAGTACAGCTTCAAATATAATAATTTTACGTAATTTTCGTATAACTCGTAAATATTTTTATATTTTTTCCTTAATATGAATGTAATATTACTGTGATATAAAACTCAAGACACACAAATCAAGTACACAAATATGATAATTAAAAGCTATATAAAATAAAAAAAGCTAGAATATATACTGTTATATTTAGGTGCTATATCTTTGACAATATTAAATAACTCTGTTAAACAGTAAAGTTATAATAAACTAATTCAAAATGTATCTCTATGCTTTGTATATGATAGTTAGTATGTGTAATTATGTTTCCCGCACAAAAGACCTTGGAATAGAAATATAGAAATATTTTCAGTCCCCATTTAGATGGTATTTTATTAATTGTCATATTTTCTTCATATTGTTTGGTTACAATGGCATGCCTTTTTAATAGCTATGATAAAAAGCTATTACACTTTATGCCTCTTATGTCTTTGATTTGCTTTAAAGTTGAAAAAGTCACTTTAATCGTTTTGTAAAATTTTATAGAACACCGCATCATGTACTAAAGACTAAACTTTAATAGAATGAAATGCAATCCTAAAATTTCAGTAAGATATGGTGCTGATAGATTGATAAGTAAAAGTGGCGACATCTTCATACAACAAAATATAGTACAGCGCCATCTAGCGCAGTTCTGGTCAACTAATTGGTAGATTCTGCTCCTGCCTCGTCAAAAAAAACTCGTTGTTTAGTGTATCATCATCAGCCTATCGCAGTCCATTGCTGGACATAGGCCTCTCCCATTGCACGCCACTTAGATCGATTTTGGGCTTCTCGCATCCAGCTCCTGCCAGCCATCTTGCGCAAATCATCACTCCACCTGACCTGTGGGCGTCTTACACTACGTTTGCCGAGACGCGGTCTCCACTCAAGAACTCGTTTTTTCCAACGGTTGTCGGTTCTGCGGCCAATATGGCCAGCCCACTGCCACTTCAGCTTGCTTGTTTAGTATATACTTTACATGTATTAAACTTTCGAACAATTATACTAACATCCATCGTTATGATCACCTGGCCTTTCTTGTGCCATTTCTTGTGTTGAATATATATTATTCATTTCCAGAACATCAAACGAATTCTCGAAATCTCGAACAATTTTAACTCCGTTTCGTAAACTTTCATGTCCGTTTCATTATTAAATCGGTTTATTTTTTCTATTATAAGTATCATGCTGGTTCTATAATGGATATTACTAGGTGGATTTACTATGTCATATATCTATTTATAATAACTATTGTGATAAGTAAATAATTGCTCAGTTATTAGTTTATAAGTTGGACTGTAACGGTTTGCGATTGTTAAATAAATGCCATTTCGATTTAAGATAATAAATGATTGTAATTGAAAGTATTGTTTTATTTAAACATAAACTCTTGTAACTGAAATTTATTCTGCATGAAACGGTCCATATCCATTTACGGCAATGATAATACCTACAGATAATTATTCCCTATCATTAATTATTAGATTCTGAAACCATATCATCCTATCCCGTCCTATTCCATCCATCTCATTATTGGGAGAAATCTTACCAACATTTGCATTGCTGCAATTACTTTACTGCATACTAACCGGTCTGGCCAGCGTGATTAATGTCCAGCAGTGGACTGTTAATGGTGTTGATGAAATACTCTACACCAAAATCAAAAATTATATCGTACATTAAGCACATTGTACATATGTGGAGGAACGGCTCTCATGTCCCTCTAACATTAAGGGAGATTCCTTCGACCAGGCGAGGTAATCATGCCTGGCGGGCCACGGTCCCACGGTTCCCTTCACGGTTGGGAAGTTGTATATATGCTAATCGGCGAGAAAAATCTTCATATTGCGATACAGAATGAGCAATTCCCATTTAGGTGTTACTCCGTAGATCGATTTCTGCGTTAGATGGCGCTTAGTCACTTATGACAGTCTGATATCAAACAAGACAGTCTGAGCTATAGTAACCTGACTGCTGATAAACATACTTAAATATTTCTAAATACTCGTATATACTAATACTAATATCCTAATATTATAAAGCCAATTAAGAATCTGTTTGTTTGTTGTGCTGAATGCGCTAATCTCAGAAACTACAGGAACTATAGATAGTCCATCTATCGAAGATAGATATATAATATCATGCTACAACCAATACGAGTATTAAAGAAAAATGTTGCTAAATTAATTTTTAAAGACGTACACACAGCTGCACGGGTCAGCTGGTATTATAGATAAATTACATCCAGGAACAGAACAAATGATCGTGCTTAACACAGAATTTCTTGTCCTGGGTTGAAATAGAACCCACGACCTCGGCTTAGCAGTCATGGTTGGCTTAGCAACCACTAGACCAACAAGCCGGAAAATGACTCCCTTACTACGAGTAATCACAGGACGGAAATGAGGCTCTCGCCTTTTCAAGGTTCTGTAGTCTCTGTCTGAATTCCTATCCAAGAATTGCGATATTTCTCTGCTTCCCAAGCTCCCCTATCCTGTTTATTATTCTTATCACAATTCACCGTGTTACCTTCCTTATTACATTGTCCCGACCCAAAAAGATTATATGGGTTTGCGCCAAGGTGGTCTCGGGCTTGTTTTTTTTTATGGAAGCCTACAACTGAGGAGTCACAAGCGCGTTGCCAGCCTTTGAGGAATTAGTACGCTCTTTTCTTGAAGGTTTGAAGGTCATATCGGTCCGGAAATAATACAGGCGATAACTTATTCCACGGATTGGTTGTGCGATCCAAAAAGTGTGATGATGGTAATACATGCAGAGACACACAAACACACATGCTTGAATTAGAAGGCAAAAGCGTTTTAAGCAACATCATTTTGTTAGCAATTCAATCGACATCAAATGGGCACTTAAAGAGTTAACGGAGCTCATATTACGAATACATTAAAATTAAAACATAGATAACAAGAGGAAAGTGGTGTTGCTACTTTACGGTGGCTACGCGTACGCTGATACGGTACGCGGTCTGCTGCTGAAGAAGGTCTGGGAGGGGCACACGAAAAGTGGAAACGCATTTGTATCTCTTGACTTGTGGATGACCTGGGCGGTGGTGGTTACTTACCGTCAGACAGACTTACTTACCGTCTGCTCGTTAGCCCCTATTTCGTAAAAAAATCCAATTCTGTCTATGGATTCAAATGCGTCTAGAATCTAGGAGGTAATCTAGACTCTAGATCTTCCAACCTGTATAGTCAAATTCTCAATGGCCTCCACATCTATGCATTATTAAATGTCATCTCAAACAAATAGTATGTCAAGAATAATGACAGTTGATAAATGCTTCAGATGAATTTGTACAATATTTTTTTAATATTTAATGTAGTTATTATAACTGTTTTTAGTAAAAATATAGATGTTAAGGCTGGTTTAGAAGAACCTATACCTTCGTCGGTGGGACTTAAGTTTGTTGCTGAAATTAACAATTTAAATGAGGAGGATTGCGCAGTGGATGTCTACCCGGATGAATGCTGCTTATACAGTAATGATGACAAATGTGATATTATCGAGATCATGGGAGACGCTAGCGATGTTATTGCTGCAGGTAATACTTTAAATTTCATAAATAATTAGACTTACTCAAAGTTAGGTCGTATTTATGCCTTAATTTATCAAAATTGGACCTCTGAAATGGTAATTTAATGGTGTTTGTGATAGATTTGGCAAAGCTGGTGTGGTTACTATTGGTTTTTCTAAATATGTTGAAGGCATAAATGACGATTTAAGTCTTTGAACTAAGCGTACACATGAACAATAGAGACGCAGTTTAATAAAGTGTAGTGCAAAAGTGGTCTGTTCTGATGTGTCTGTATTATTTGATAATATCATAACTATCATAATCAGGTCTGCTATTTTAAACTTTTTCTAAAACTAGATGTATTTATTTTCAAATAACCAGTGCTCTATTAATCACAATTTGCTAGGACTTATTCACAAGATTTTCTAAATAAAGTTTACAAAAATATGCATGTGAAAACAACTAAGTTACAGGAATATTTTCAATAAGTTTGTGTGAATTAGATTTTTCTAATAATACCTATTTGTAATATTTTTGTCATTATGATGATAGATTATATATTTTGGCATGTATACCAACAGACTGATATAATTATAAATATATATATATATACTGCCGGCAAATTAAACTTTTAATGCAATCAGCTGTCAAAGGTTAAGGTCATTCCCAGTAGGTATTGCACAAAATCATATATAAATGAACAATTTAATTTCGAAATGTTGCTGGTCCGTCTAATGACGGATTAAGAATACGGAATGTCACTACCCCAATTCATCCCGTGGGTATCGTAAGAGCCGACTAAGGACGCAATACGCAGGATACCAGCACTGCAGAGAGAAGGAAAACTTGACACAAACCCTATACCAACCCGTCTGGCCAGCGTGGTATAGTAGGCCAAAACCTCCTTTTTAAGGAGAGGCCTATGTCCAGCAGTGGACTTATTAAAGGCTGTTGATGTGATGATGTCATGTTGCTATATTAAAAAAAAAAATGTCAGTTACTGATAATTTATATTTTGATTTTGAATAACGAAGTTTGATTTGTCCTTTAAAGTGTCGACCATTGGTGTTTTTACCTTAAATATATTTATGTATATAATATGCTCTGACTCACTGACTTATTCATCAAGAAAGACGCCAACAATGCATACTTCTATATTACGGCGCCCTAGGAAAACTCTTTGAGGTTGGGAACATCGAAAGCAAAAAAGTGCAGCAATAAGATAAACTATCTAAGTGAAAGACCCATCGTCCCCCAATTTGTACACGGCCGTGAGAGACGCCTTGGACAATAACCAGTGGTGAGAGCAACCGCTCCAGAGGCAACCTTGATGCTAACTATGATCAGACTTAAGACCCGACCAGAGATAGAGATATATAAAACCATATTAACAAGAAATCTAGTAACTGAGGTACAGGTTCCGCCTAATTTGGGATCAGACTGCCGTGTGTGAGAATTTTGGGGATATTATTATTATGATGTGGTGACTTCCACACAGCAACAGAATCATACTCAAGCGCTATCTAACGAACAAACATCGAACTACGGAGTAACTGCTAATACTGTATCACAATGTGCATACATCTCTCGCCGATTAGCATATATACATACATCTTCTCAAAACCAATCGTTGGGCCGCGACCCACCTGTCATGCTCACCTCGCCTTTGTGTTGGAGGGACGTGACACCCGTTCCCCTACAATAATATTAATTGACCTCGGCCTGCTTCTGCTAGAATGACAGATGACCTCACCTACCACCCCCAGGCCTGCGCTTATGGAGGACGCAGGTCGTTCTGCGAACTCCGGCGCCTGAGTCGTCTGCGGTACCTGGCCCGTTGCCGAGCCTGGCCGGCTGGGAGAGTTATAAAACTCTCCCGGTCCCGCTCCGCCATCTTCTTTGCCAGCATGACTTGCTCGATAAAATAACGTAAATACAAAATATATCTTTTCATGCATTTGACCGCCTTTGCACTGCACTCTACTGAACTTCGCCAATATACTCAAAGCTTATTTAGATTTATTTTATTTCATAAGCCTAGTTATTGTAATATGGTTACCTATTATACGTTACTACCCTGACTTTAACTAAGTATATTATGGGATTTCGTAAGCATGACTTAAACTCACCATAACCCAAATAAAAGTTTTTTTTTTTTCTGATATATAAGTTTTTATTATTTCTATACTGTTATATCAATTGTGTTATATTCGGCTGTCCCATATTAAAATTTAGCAAGGGACACTTTTTACAGAACCGTCTTGTTGCACAATTTTGCTAACCTTGTAAGTCAATATAGAAATTCCTAAGTTTAAAGCTCACTAGAAATGGTATATATTGGGTAATAGGGACATGCTGCCGACGAAAGAACACAAACGATATTACCTACCTACCAATGAAAACTTGGGTGAAGGGTCAGAAAAAATAGATCTTGACGAAAAAATTCATCTTTTTATACCGTTTTTTATCAACCTTATTCATTTTATAATGTTATCGGAACAAATTTTAAATATTTTTAAAACTGCTTCTATAATTATCTTATTATTTTACATTATGTTTGCGTAAAAAGTATGAAAACTATTAGGAAAGCTTGTATTGCTTAATTTGATTTAACCAAGATAAATCCACATGTACCATCACAGGGTCTCAAGTCTTGAAGGTGAATTATGTGGGAAATCTTTATAAGTCCTTCACCACATACCTTCGTTCACCACAGAGAGTAGAGTAAAGGTGTTCTCATCCCTTCTTATTTATTAACCGACTTCCAAAACACAAAAGTAGAGCTTCTCAATTCGTCTGTATTTTTTATTTTTATTTTTTTATGTATGTTTGTTACGCGATTTCTCCGTCAATTGTGGACCGATTTTCAAAATTATTTTTGTAATCGAAGGGTATGCTCCCGAATTGGTCCCATTACCACCAATTCAGGATCTGATGATGGGATCCTAGAGAAATCGAGGGAAACCCTCACAATTATTGGGAATTTGACAGCCCCGACAACGTGTTTTAGCTACGAGTATTTCTTTAGCCAAACAAACCATGGCAACCGTCAGAGACTGCGCGATGTGATGCGCAGAGAACTTGCAGTATTTATGTCACCACAGTAATTTTCGTTGTATTAAGAAGAAAAGGTTGAAATTTTTCCTATCTCAACTGGGCGAGTCAAGTCTGGAAGTCTTTAAGTCTTTTCCCTGGCCGATTCTTTTCCGCATAATTATCACAAGAACACGACTCTCGCACCAAACACTTCAGAAGAGGCTTTCATAATTTAAAATCTTCTGAAATCTTTTTCTTTCCTAAGGCATGGAGTACTTTATCCTTGCAATAGCTCTCGCATTTACAACACCGCCTTGTTCAAAACAACACGGCTGCACGGATGGCGTAGTGGTTTAAGCGGTCGCCACGCCGCTTCCTACTACGCCGAGTGTTGTGGGTTCAAACCCCACATGGGACGACACTTTGTGTGATCCACAAATTGTTGTTCTGAGTCTGGGTGTTCTTTGTGTCCGTTTCATGTATGTTTGTAAAGTCCCCCGCGACACAGGATTTATTCCTAATGCGGGAGTTGTCTTTAAAAAAAAAAAAAAAAAAATTATACTTTCCAAACCAATCATACCCGATGATTGTGATATATATATCATACCATAAATCGTTGGAGAAATAATACTAGAGAATATAAAGTTTATTAAATGACTACACTACTGCTTGGCAGTGACATAAATTGCTCGTTCTCGTTAACAAATGTTGTATTTTATTTTGATTGTAGTAACATTAAATAATAAAAAATCTGACTGAATTTCTTGAGGGTTCTTCTCAGCCTGTTGGAAGCCACAGATTTTAATAATATTAAAGATATATTTTTTGTTCTCATGTATTGCCTTCCTATCCTTTCAGTCGATCAGACACATTACAGTAGTTTTGAAGGTAATCTTATATTTATTATTTTAAATTTCTCTCCAAGGTGCAATGAAAACTTTTACGATGGTTGCTCCTCTACTAGATGTCTACCAGAGAAGAGGATATTGCACTCTCTACATTGACACCAAACCAGTGTCTCAGGTCAAGACTGCGGTGAGAGACACAGTAAAAATTAAATTTGATACAAAACTGAAGAAAAATACCCTTCCTAAAAATGTTAAATATTGCAAACGCATTGATGAGGATCCATGGAATGACTGCAATCCCGTTGATTGCGATACATATTACAACGGTAGGAGATCTTATTTTAATGCAAGAAAAAACCGTTGTATTGAAGTGCCTGCTTGCTTGCCTATTCAAAATAGTCTTGTCTACAACCCCGTTTCTAATAAATGTAATGACAAATCAGCTCTTGGTAAAAATGAAATCGACTTCGTAAAAACATTAACTATGAATCCTAAAAGAAGACTGACAAAAGAGGTGTTGATTCTCTCAGTTAGCCCTGATTTTGATACAACGACTTTACCATCTAATGTCAGTTATAAAGAAATTGATACAGAGCGTATTTTAAACCCAGTACTCGAAGACCATCCCACAGAACTGAAGGTACAAGATATGCAAGCTTTAATAAAGCAGCAAGAACAAACTGACGAAAAGGCGAAAGCTAAATCTAAAGCGAATGCTAAAGCTAAGGCCAAGGCTGTTACCAACGCAAAAACCAAAGCTAAAGCCGCGGCAACAGCTACGGCTAAAGCTGTGACAAAAACAAAGGCTAAAGTTGAAGCTCAGACTAAGCAAAAACTAGATATGGTTAAAAGTAATGTCAATAAAGCAAAAGCACAAGCATTAAGAATAGGAAAACTAGTAAAATTACTTAAGTATTTAAAATGCAACAAGTATACTGTTTTGGTATTATTTTGCGTTTGTCTTGTGCAATGTTGTTTCATTTGTACCTTGGTGTACTGTATGACTAAAAACTGTCTATGTGGGAAGAAAAAACAGGTCGTTCATAAATATTTTAACCGTCAAAATGATGCATCTATTACTACTCCTTTGATAGCAACCAGCAATATGGATACTGATACAACTGAATGCCAATATAGGAGTGAATCTTCTAATTACATTGAGAACAGAATCAAGTGCTATAAGGCTTGCCAAAAAGATAGGACACATAATATGAAGCTAAGTATGTCTGACGATATTATATCTAAATATACTACACGACGAAGTTGGAATAGATTACCTAGATCAGAAATAATTCCAGAAGCAAAAACTGATGAAGATTGCAAAATAACTAAGAAAGTTCGAAGTGATTATCAGAATTTCGCAGAAATGAAAGTTAACTTTATAGATGATTACCAAGATAGTAAGTATAATGTTAGAAGAATAAATGTTAAGAGAGATAATAATAACACAAAAAACAATGAAAAACACTTAAGTGATTATTCAGAAAAACAGATGTTTTGTCACAACAACAATATTGCAAACAACTCTAAAGTCAGTATGAAAACTGTGCAAAATTATTCTGCACCGCGTATATCTGGTCAAAAAAAGCCTAAAACTGATTCAATTGAAAAGAGTGCACAAGCCTTTTTCTCAAATGACTCTATTGATGAATATTTATCCGAAAAAGGTATTCTGTGTATAGATGATATAGCATCTAAATGTTCTTATACAAGCACTTCAACTGCCGCCAAAAGTACAGCAACCAGTAATTCTTCTAGAACATCAAAAAATAATATCGTGAAAAACTTTATGAGTTTATTGCCTAAAAAGGCCATGGGTCCTTCTTCGGATCCTGGTATCAAGAAAACTTCTAGTGATCTTGATTTAGAACTGCTGTACGTTTCTAGAGTCTCCTTATGTTCTAGCTTCGAAACGGATGAAGGAAAAGACATTAAGAGAACAAAAGGTTCATCAAGTTAAACACAGTCAAATATTAGTTGTTAATGTTTTTACTTATAAATGTTTAAACCTTGTTTGTTTTATTAATACATAGTGTGTGTGACACTGAAGTGAACAGTAATGGTTAAAAATTGAAATAAAAAACGTGCCTCATCTTTCACTGTCTTCTGATTACTTACATGATACATGACCGTTAAGAATTTCACAATGTCTTTACAGAGATCCCATTCTACGTAATTCCTAGTTAGTTTAAGATATTTTAATTTACCCAACAATAAATGTACATACTATAGTACATTTTTTTGGTTAGGCAGTTATTTCTTTGGATTACGGCAGGTGGTGGGGGATGATTACATGATCTGGATCCTCCCCAGAATAGGGCATCTCAGGCTGGCCATCAGGGTAGTTTTTAGTATAGACATCACGTACTCCTGGCTCCTGCAACGCTGCGATGTAAAAATGACTGTGACGGTATTATTTTTGAAAGGGTCAGTTTCCCTCACTGACTTAAGTCTTGAGATCATACCTTGATCACTTGGTTAGTCCACGTGTACTTGTTGTATCTGCCAGATACGTAAAACTTTTCACTTCAAAATAACTACGAAATCAATTAACCACAAAACAAAATATAAAATCCAGACAAACAAATTGACGAATTATAGTCCATCAACGTCGTGCGCAAGCGTCCTGCGGGGTGACAGACGGTGGCGGGGTAGCGGGTGGTGTAGCGGGGAAGGGAAACGCGTGTAGCTGTGTGCTAGAAAAACGCGCTACCTCGCCCCCGCCACTGTCTGTCACCCCGCGGGACGGTCGCGCACGAGATTGCCGGGTTATAACGAGATGCCTTTCTTGGCCCTTCTTTATTCAATTTAAAGGAAATAGACATATTTGTCAACCATTCAACATCCAAGCTGAATAAGTGAACCCCACTGAACTTAAAAGTCAGCTCACACTATTGAATTTCCCCGCAGTTTTGGTGTCCTATACTATATTTCTTTCTCAGGACTCCAAACCTCTTTTTTTCCAGCCCAGTGGCTATTGCTTCTGAAAACACATTGTCTTCAGAAGCGATAGCCGTCCAGTGGCAGTCCATGCCACTTCAGCTTATTATTTATTTGAGCTGTTGGTAACCTTGGATCTGTGTCTGATCGTAGTGATATAACACAGAATAGTTAAGAAGTTTTACCTACAGAGACATCAAGCCTAGCTCTCTTCATAGCTAGAAGGAAAATGTATCAGTTTACAATTTCTGATCTGATGACATACCCTGTAAAAGTACAGGCATTTTCTCAATTAGAAACGACCTTTGAACCTCGAGTTACTGTAATTTTTTTATTTATTACTTTATTGACACAAAATTTACCATATAATCATTGAAAACAGATAATTTTACTTCAAATAAACCTAAAATATTTTGTCTTGTCCTTTATTACTTGAAGCGTATCAAATTGTGATACGTACATTTTCTTAAGACATTGTTTTAAACCTACCTCTAGCTTTTATAACTTATAAAAGTATTAAATGAGATTTCATTCTAATTAAGGGCCACGTAATTGAATTTTATGAATCAATATACGGCTATAGATGGAGCTACAAAGATCTAGTTATAATTGGACGACAGAACTAATATATTAAGAATGGTCGCCTGCCACATATTTACTATTTTTATTTTCTCTTCAAGGTGCAACGAAAACTTTTACGATGGTTGCTCCTCTACTAGATCTATACCAAAGAAAAGGATATTGTATGCTCTACATAGACTCTCGACCAGTATCCAAACCAAGAACAGTAGTGAGAGACATGGTCAAGATGAAATTCGATACGAAATTAAAGAAAGAATCTCTCCCTGATAATGCTAAATCTTGCAAGCACTTTGATGAAGATCCATTTCATGATTGTATACCAGTTGACTGTGATATCTTTTACAATGGCAAAAAGTCTCATTTTTGTGAAATAAAAAAACGATGCATGGAGGTACCTACCTGTTTGAATCCTAAAACAAAACTATTTAAAGTAGCATACAATCCCGTCTCAAATAAATGTATAGACACTCCGGCTATTGGGAAAAATGATCTTGATTACATAAAAGAGTTAATAAATAGTGAGAATAAAATAAACGGAAATTTTTCGTCTAGTCTGAATACAACTGCATTATCTAATCATCGAGTGGAAGAGGTAGGATTTGGAACAGACCCAATTATTTCAACACAACAAACAACACGTAAAGATAAAACAGTAAAGTATAAAAAAGTAGACATGATGATTCAAGATAAACCTGAAAAAAACGAAATTTTGAATGTCCCAGGTCCTCAATTTGACAAATTGCCAAAACTTAGTAGAACAACTAAATTACGATATACTGTTCAAAGAGCTATGGATAACATAAAAAATAAAGTTAAACTTAAGCAAAAGAAAATAAAAAAAGCTAAAGCAACAGCTCTAACTGAAGCAAAAAAAAATATTGAAACTGTAGCCAAGGAGAAAGCTAGCACAAAACCAAATCTGAAATCTGAAGCAGAGAAACAAACTTCAAAACAGTTAACAGATACAACCCAATCTATCAACGAACTGGATAAAACAGTTTCTGATACCAAGAATAGGTTTAAAGGGAACCTACAAGTTTTAATTAGCTGTTTGGAATCCAAAAACTATACGACAATAATGTTACCGTGTATTGTAATACTACAATGCATTCTAATATGTTTGATGTTGTACTGCATGAATAAAAATCGCTGTAAGAAAAAAAAACCGATTGTCAAGAATTTTTTTAACTATAGACAAGATGCTTCTATTACAACTCCTTTGATCGGAACTAGTAACGTAGATACTGAGACTACAGAATATCAATATATGAGTGAATCTTCCAACTATATCGACAAGAAAATCAAATGCTACAAAGCTTGCCAGAAAGATAGGAGAAATAATATGAAACTAAGCATGTCTGATGATATTTTATCGAAGTGCATAAACCGAAGAGATTGGTTAAGAGTACCTAAATCTGAAACAATACCAGAAGTAAAGACTGACGATGAAATAAATATGAAAAAAGAAGGACGCAAAGATCAAAGTAAAATTACAGAAATAAAAGTTAACTTTCAAGAAGAATATCAAGGCAAAAAGGTCAAAGTTATGAAAAGCATTGCCGATAAGTCTATTAATATGAATGGCAATCCAAAACCACGCACTGATTCTTCGGAGAGAGAAATCCGTTGCCATAGTTACAATTCAAACGTAAATACAAACGATATCCAAAATGGTTCTTTTTATAAGACATTTGGTGTTTACAGGCAACAAACAAAAGAAACAAACTCAATAGAAAAAGGCGCCCAAGCTTATTTTTCAAACGATTCTATAGAAGAGTTTTTATCTGAACGAGGTGTTCTTTTTATAAGTGATAATGCTTCAAAGTATTCGTATACGAGTCTTTCAAGTGCAGCCAAAAGTACTAGTTCTAGTCAATCATCTAAAACATCAAAAAACAACATTGTAAAAAATGTTCTTACTTTATTATCGAAGAAGGTGAAAGGCCCATCGTCAGATCCTGGTGTCAAAAAGTCTACTCCTGATCTTGATTTAGAGTTACTAAATCTATCTAGGGCTACTTTATCGTCAAATGCTGGGAACGATGGAGGCAAAGGCATCAAAAGGATAAAAGACTCCAGAAGTTCGTTATAGTATTTAGTTTATATTTTAACTATTATAGTTGCTTTTAATTCATCTTAATATATTTCACTATAACTTTTCTTTTAATTATTTATCTAATTTACTTTGCCGAATTAATCACATATATGCGTACAATATAGTAAATAAATAATATATAGTAAATATAAATGATTGATGTTTGAATCTCCACGATAGAACAGTTTTGCGTTGGAACGTATCATAAATATAAGGCAATGATTCTGCACCAGAAAACTGGACAGTAGAAAATATCAAATTTATTGCTGGAGAATGCTCGAGAATCAAAATCGTCTCAATTATAGCCGTTTCATATAAGTTATATCTGATTACCATTTACTAAGAAACTCAGTCTTTTGGATTTAATAATCTCTTATTTTCTCTTCCTCCTAAATATGAATTATATATCCTTCTCCATAATTCTTTCATAATATTTTTTTTATCTTAGAATCCTTCGTCCTTTACTTGTTTTAATAAAATATATTACTGATAAAGTACCTACTCTTCAGAAATCAACCCCTATCATTACTAATACTAATCACTAATACTTAAAGTAACTAATATTCTTACAACATAAGAAGATTTATACTGTTGTAACCTGGTGAACGTGAGAAAATCACAAAAATTAATTCACCAACCATCTAAGGCATTATTTTCCAAGGAAAACAATCAGATCTAAAGAAACACTTTGGAGATACGAAATTTTACTTCTCAAGAGGAATCAACACATGGACATCGGTTGATGGTCAATGAAGAATGGATATTTTGTGTTAAAATATACACAGTGAGGCTTTAATACAAAATAAATATCTATAGCTTTGTTATCTTATATCGGCTTATATATTTTTAAGAATCAGTTTTTTTTTTGTACAATTAGGATGATAGTAATCTAACGAAATCATCTAAATACTCAAGCTTTTTATTTGTATTTAATAAAACTAACAGTATGAGTACATGCTACCAATAACGTTTATAATCTACAAGGTGACCCACCAAATATATTTACCATTTATATTTTCTCTTCAAGGTGCAAAGAAAACTATAACGGTGGTCGCTCCCCTACTAGATCCTTACGAGAGAAAAGGTTATTGCACCCTCAAAATAGACTCTCGTTCAGTAATTAGGCCAAGGGATATAGCAAGACATACAATCAAGATTGGATTCAATACAATCCTTAAAGAAGTGAACCTTCTTGACGATATCAAACTATGTCAGCAGGTTGATGAAGATCCATTAAATGATTGCAAACCAGTCAACTGTGATACCTTTTACAATGGCAAGAAGTCTCACTTTAGTGTTATTAAACAGCGATGCTTGGAGGTACCTACTTGTTCATCTAGTAAGCAGCAAGTGTTTAAGTCAGTTTATAATCCGATTACTAATAAATGTATTCACAAAAGGGGTATTACCAACAATGATCTTGGATTTGTCAAAAAATTAATAGAACTTACAGCAAATAGAATGAGAAAAGAAGTATCATTGCATAATTACAAGCCTAATGAATTTACAGACATAACTGAACAGTCAGAAGTGGACATGTCTACAAAAGTCAATAACAAAGAGGAGAAACAAGAAATATACATAACAAATGATACGGTAAAGGCAAAACCTAAACAAATTTGGAAAAACAAATATGAAGAAAGACGTAATAAAATAATAAACTATTTAAATAACAATTTATATACTGCAATCATATTGTTTTTTATTATTATTATACAATCTGTATTAATTTGTGCAGTAATCTATTGCTTGATGAAAAGATGTGACTGTGTAAGAAACAGGACTGCTGTACACGATTACTTTAAAACTAGACATGATGTTTCTATTACTACTCCTTTAATAGGGCTTAGTAATATAGGGACTAGTAATATTGATACTAAAACTACAGAATGTCAATATATGAGTGAATCATCGAACTATATTGACAAGAAAATTAAATGCTACAAAGCATGTCAAAAGGGGGACAGCGATAATTTGAAACTGAGTGTCTCCGATGATATTCTATCTAAATGCATTAAAAGACGAGACTGGCTCGCAATGCCTAAATCTGAAACAATACCAGAAATAAAACCTGATGTGAAAAAAGAAATTCATGGTAATCAAAATAAATTTACAGGAATGAAAGTGAATTTCCAAGAGAAATATCACAGAAAAGCTATCGGCAAAACCATTTTTAATAAGGATATCTTTAACAAAAGCAGAGATGAACTGAGTGATTCTTCGGAGAAAGAAATTCGCTGCTACGATTACAATTCAAGTGTTAGTACTATTCTGAATAATTCATTATACAAGGGCTTTGGTGTTTACAGTTTGAAGAAAAAGAGTGTAGATTCAACTGGAACACATCCTAATCCTTCAAACTGCTCTGTAAATGATTATCAATCTGAAAGAGATGTTACATACCGTAGTAATAATTTATCAATCTGTACCTATACAAGTCTCTCAAGTGGTGCAAGTAGTCAATCGTCGAAAACATCAAAAGACGTCGCTAAAAATGTCCTGAAATTATTATCAAAAAAAGCCAAAGGGCGTTTATCTGATCCTGGTGTCAAAAATGCTAACGTTGAGCGTTTGGATTTACGAAACGTTTCTAGAAATTCTCGTAGCGCTAAAACATGTAAAACACGTGGTAAAATTTTTGAAAAATCTACAAGTTCACCATAGTTAAATTTTAAATTTCCAACTTTTATTATAATGTTTTTTGATCTCAGTTGTTTTTAATTACCATAAGCTTTTTAATTTTTTTATTTGTAATGTATAAAAAACTATAAATCATTACATAACAGGAAATTGCAAAATAGGTGAGTTTAACTAACCTATGATAGGGATTTCTTCAAACAAACCCGGAAGGTACAAAGACAAAATGAAGCAAGGCAAAGGCAAACAATATGTTTGAGAGAACTCAATAATCATTTAGAACTAAATATCTATACATTAAGTAACAATTATATGAGTTGTATCAATTCTTATGTTTACACACATTATGCAGTATAAATATTATAGTTAACTAAATTTTATAACATTTCCTTTTTTATATAAATAATATATGTATGTTGGCGACTTCTCCTGAGCATCACCGCCATCTAACGAAGACACACCGAACTACGGAAACTAATTCTGCATCTAGGTGTAATTTATCTGGGGGAGAAGTGTTCTCCCCTGGGATAGGGCCTGATTAGGCGTGGTGTCCTCCCAAGAGTAGGACACCTGAGGCCAGCCGTCGGGGTGGTTTTTAGTAGAATCACCACATACTCCTGGCTCTTGAGTACCCGAGGAGCAGGAGATCCGAAATGATTTTCCACCACGTCAACAAAAAAAAAGGTGTAATTTATCTATAATATGTACGTATTTAAAAATTTCCCATACCACAGGCTCAGCCTAGTTTAGAAACAGACTGCCGCATGTGAGAACTCCTCTTTTTGATTTTTTTTATTATATTGTATGTATATGACGGAGTACCGATGTCTGGGTTGTTTTTAAATAGAGTGATTCTTTAGATTGTGCTAGTTTCCCTTTATAAAAGCTGATGTATTCCAAGTTCTTACCAACAGTCGTACATAGAGACATACCTTAGAAAATAAAAACAACAGTAACAACAATAAATGATGTATTCCAAGGTCTCACCAATAGTCGTACATAGATCCGTACAGCCCGACGGCTCGAGCGAGAATGACCGAGTACGTGCACGTGTTTACAAGTTATTTGGTTAAGTGTTGTATTATCTTGTTATTAACCGACTTCAAAAAAAGGAGGAGGTTCTCAATTCGACTGTATTTTTTTTTTTTTTTTTTTTTGTATATTTGTTACGCGATTACTCCGGCAATTATAAACCGATTTGAATAATTCTTTTTTTATTTGGTAGGTCATACGTCAGAGGTGGTCCCATTGTCACCAGGTCAGGATCTGATGATGGGATCCTGGGGAAATCGAGGGAAACCCTCAAATTTTGTAGGCATATACACTGTTTATCAGAAATTATCTTAATCTATGTAGATTTTTGCATCTAATGGTCACCATCTGATGTTGCTGAGCTGATGATGAAGCTGTTGATGAATGGTTTAGGAGTATGGGATCTCTGTAACAAAATTATGTAATACCATCGAATTTGAATGTGTTTGAGTCTAATTAATAAGAACTCCGATCCTATGTGATATTCAGGGTCTGATGATGGAGACGGTAAATAGCCATGGGAACTCTGTAATAAAATAAAGCAATTCCGCCGTGTTTGTGCTCATTTGATTCGTCTCGACTAGGAGCTTCATGCTAGTCGATTTTTAACCAACATCAAAAAAGGAGGGTTTTTGATTCGACAGTATGTTTTCTTTTTAACCGACTTCCAAAACACAAAAGAGGAGGTTCTCAATTCGTCTGTATTTTTTTTTTAATGTATGTTTGTTACGCGATTTCTTCGTCAATTGTAGACCGATTTTCAAAATTCTTTTTGTAATCGAAAGGGTATGCTCCCGAATTGGTCCCATTACCACCAATTCAGGATCTGATAATGGGATCCTAGAGAAATCGAGTGAAACCCTCACAATTACTGGGAATTAGACAGCCCCGACAACGTGTTTTAGATACGAGTATTTCTTTAGAGAAACAAACCATGGCAACTGTCAGAGACTGCGCGATGTGATGCGCAGAGAACTTGCAGTATTTATGTCACCACAGTAATTTTCGTTGTATTAAGAAGAAAAGGTTGAAATTTTGTATTCTATCTTGTTAAAATAATTCGGATAGACGTTTTGTTGCTATGGATGGCATCGCATTTCGTTTGTAAGTAATTTTATACTTAATTTATTAAAATAGTTCTGGAAAAAACTCTTAAATTTTGGGTGGGTCAACTAGGTTAATTTCTAACATACTAGTATTAACCCTTCTAGTTGGAACTCCTTCTATAAAATATTGAGCATATTTGTTGAGTAGTCTCACTAAAGCTTCCCTATCTTCACCTTCGAGATCAGTGTCAATTGAATCGGAAGTTATTTTGTTCGGTTGCAACTCACAAGAATTTGACTGTTTCTTAGAAAAGAATTTAAGCTGATCTTGATCAGTTTGGACGCCAATGTCATTTTCATATCCTACACTAAAAATGGTAAAATAAACCCTTTTTAAAAAAAAAGTTGAACCGACTTCAAAAAACACCGACAAAGAGCACTAAAAATTAAAAAATAATTACAAATCTAAGTAAAAAACTATAATAAGTACCCTCAATGTAACAGGTAACATTATAATACCAATAGTCCCTTCTAGTCTGTTTGAAGTCGGTGCCAAGCTCGATGTACAATAAGTAATACTGGTCTATGTCAGCTTTATATTAGCACAATGAAAAATTAAGAATTCAAAATAATTCTAATGAAACATCGAAGATTTTGTTAATTAATAAAGACCAACCAGATCAATTACGTGCGCAAACTTATCAACTACTTATTAAAGAATTCAAAATAATAATATAATTGGAGATGTGCGTCCACTTTAGCTCGTTCATCATGTTTTGCGCAGCATGAAGACTGTTGCAGCTGCCGCGCTACATTCTACCATGCCTATCAAGCACCTATTTGGCTTGGCACCGACTTCAAACAGACTAGAAGGGACTATTGGTATTATAATGTTACCTGTTACATTGAGGGTACTTATTATAGTTTTTTACTTAGATTTGTAATTATTTTTTAATTTTTAGTGCTCTTTGTCGGTGTTTTTTGAAGTCGGTTCAACTTTTTTTTAGATACGAGATATGATTTTTCAGGTTATTTGTTAACACTAACTATCAAAACTTCAACTTTAATCTAACAGAATTTAATTTAAATCAATCAAAGTACTTACTTAATTACTTATTAAGTGAGGTAGTTTGTAGTTGCTCCGATCATCATCATCATCATCAACAGCCTTTAATAGTCCACTGCTGGACATAAGCCTCTCCTTAGAAAGGAGGTTTTGGTCTACTATACCACGCCGGCCAGACGGGTTGGTATAGGGTTTGTGTCAAGTTTTCCTTCTCTCTGCAGTGCTGTTGTTCTGCGTAGTTTTTTCCCTTAGTCGGCTCTTACGACACCCACGGGATGAATAGGGGTGGTGACACTTTGTATTCTTAATCCGTCACCACACGGATATGTAGTATTATATTAATAAATGTGAGCCATAAAAGTGTTCGCACCGATTAGTATGAATACAATTCTCCAACATCAGCCGTTGGGCTGTGACCTGCCAGGCATGAGAAAGCCAAACTCATGCGTATTTGGTCCGCCTTAAACGGAGTGATACCACGGCCTCACAGCAAACCGTTAAGTGATATTTGAAGTGAAAACTTCTTTAGGCGCGTTGGGCATTTTTTGAAATGAAAAAAAAAACAAATTAAAATCTCGGTACTTACTGTCACCGTTACCGACACCTCTGTATATAAGTTTTCACTTCTGTCGGTAGAGCCGACACTTACCGTCACCGCTACCGACACCTCTGTATATAAGTTTTCACTTCTGTCGGTAGTGCCCACACTTACCGTCACCGTTACCGACACCTCTGTATATAAGTTTTCACTTCTGTCGGCGCTGCCAGAGTGCCACTGTTGTTTTCTATCGCTTTTCACTGAGTGAGTAAGGTACTCAGAGCACAACCCAACCCTCCCCCTAAAGGAACAAGGGGAGGAACACTCACAGAACGGCAAAGCTCTCGTGTCTCTCATGTCATTTACCATAAGGTGACCGTCTGCTCGTTTGCCCCCCTTTACATTAAAAAGGACCGATGACAATATCGACCGGTGCTATTTACTATTGACAACACCCAACGCTTTTTTTCAAATTTATTAAAATTTATTTTCTATTTTTAGTTTGGTTATCTATAAAAAGCGTGTTATTTTGTTTTTTAAAACTATTTTTTTTTTCAAATTAGTGTATTGTCATCGGTCCTTGATATATCTATAAAGTTTGAACGAATTCTAACCGTTTAAAGTCAGTCAAAATCACGCCCAAATGAGTAAAAGCCCAATAAAAAAACAGTGGCACTCCGGGGGAGTGCCGACAGAACTTGATAATTTAAAATTTTTTGATCGTAACAGGATTTTTTTTTGTTTTTTTCGTTCCGATATGAATATATGTATATCTATCTTGTACGTAATATATGTTTATATTATAATAATATATATAATTCTTCTGTGAGTGTGTATGTCACTGAACTTCTCTCAAACGACTGGACCGATTTTGATGAAATTTTTTGTGTGTGTTCAAGGGGATCTGGGAATGGTTTAGATTCACAATTTTGTCCGCTGGACAATGTTTTTTTAATTAATTTTTAATTTATTAGTAGTTGTTGATTTTGGAATGTTTTACATTGGATCCGACAGACGGCGCTACCATCGCAGTGTCAAATTTGACAGGACAACGTCTGTCGGGTCCGCTAGTATTATAATAAATATAGTCATATTATCAATGTATTTCAACCCAAACTCAACTCTCGTTTAGGGCCAATATATGTATTTATTTTTGACGACCGGATGGCGTGGGGGTTTGTGTAACAGACTGCTATTCCAAAGGTCGCGGGTTCAATTCCCGCTCAAGTCAAACGTTTGTGTGCATGAACATTTAATGTTTGATTTGGTCTGGGTGTTTCTATGTATAATATGTATGTATTTACAAAAAAAAAGTATATATGTATTTATATCAGTTGTCTAGTACCCATAGTACAAGCTTTGCTTAGTTTGGGACTAGATGGCGTTGTGTGAATGTGGTAGAATATTATTATTATTATTATTATTTATTATAGAGACGCCAAAAGTATATACAACATTATTCAAGATACAGTTTCATATAAAGGATAGTTCTTATATGCAGACCAATTACAGGCATGCACAGTATACATCGTTGGAGAGACACACACAAGCAGTAGCAAGATTATGTAAATACTTATATACAGAGGTGTCGGTAACGGTAACGGTAACAGTGTCGCGAGTTCAATGGTTTTTACCCATCTCAAAAATACATTATTTTGTTTGTAATTCAAAAATACCCGAAGCGCCTAAAGAAGTTTTTACTTAAAAAACCCATTATCATGATAATCTACAAGCCAGTTTTCAGCGGATCAGAGAAGGATATAAGGTATTGTTCATCCTGAAAATACTTCGGTTCTGGTCAGTTTCAGTTTTTTTAATGGTATAAGGTGGCAAACGAGCAGACGGTTCACCTGATGGTAAGTAACTACCGCCGTTCATGGACACCTGCAACTCAAAAGTCGCGTTGCCGCCCTTGGAGTCCCTCTCACTCGAGTCAGTAGTAGGGGATCACTCCGGGCGAGCCGGCACGATAAGGTACAAAGTAAAATACTGACGGGAATAAAATCCTTTATAAATAATCACATAAAACAGTAAACATATTTCTCTTTTAGCATATTGTCACCCTGCGTGTTGTGGTTCTATCTCTTTCTGCTGTGAAGCAGTCATTGCAATCACATGGTGGACAAAGAGTTGACGTACTTCCCGTGGTAGTCGTCCTCTTGGTTGCTTTCTGAAATTACAACAGCAATTAAGTAAGATACACCTGGCCGTCTGATTTCGATGCAGATTCTGTGCTCATTACATAATTATTTGAAGAGAATTGAACCCACCTCTCCTCACCTTAAAGTCACAAATCGCTAGACCAACATGCCTGGATTAATAGTTACTAAATACCTTTTTTTTCGTTATCTTATGTCTTATGTATAGAAATTATTATCCAAAATGGGTTGATTCATGTTACTACTCGTATACCTAATGTTAAGTATAAGTAGCGGCACGAAACTCTAGCGGTGACAGTTATTGCGCAGAAGTCAAAAATCAGGTATCGTGTGGGGTAAGAGGGACGAAGGGCGGGCGTGCGTAGCGCCGATTGGCTCTCCAGTCGCATTACGTCCCCCGCACTGATACGACACGCCGCGTGCTTCCAGTGTACAGTCGCGTTCTGAGTTATATTGTTATCGCTGTTAATTTTTGTTGCTGTTTTTTGTTAAGTTTGATTTTGTTAAGTTATTTTTTGTTTGTGACTTTAAGTAGTGAATATGCCTAGAAGAAATACTGTTTTGAAACGACAGGCACGGAAAATGGTATATGCATTATTTTTTGAAAAGGGAATCTGATAAATTAATTGATTCTTTAAAACAAATCAAAAGTGAGATTGACGAAGCTACGAGTATTTTACTCAATCATTCGGACAGCAGCACTGTAAATTTAAGCCAGATAAAACAAACTGCAGAAGTTATTAGGGCGGGAAATATGAAATTGAAGGATATCATCAGTGATTTAGGGAAAATCCAAAAAAGAACAGCAGAGTCTACGAATACGTCAATTCTCAAGCTAATAGTTAAGATTTAATCACAGTGTTCAGAACACCTGGCAAAAAACGTTCCAGAACAAAGCCGGTTACAAATATCGATAACTTCGATCAAGGAGTAATAAAGAGGTGCATTCATAACTTTCACGAGACAAATAATGAACTTCCCACAGTCGGAAAGCTAAAACAGAAGCTAGAGGAGGACATAAATTTCAAAGGGTCAGAACGAAGTCTTCGGCGGATAATTAAGAGTTTGGGATTTCGGTGGAAAAATACCCAAAATAACCGGAAAGTGCTGCTTGAGACTTCAAATATTCGTTTGCAACGTATCGAATATTTACGTAAAATAAAACAATATCGCCAAGAGGGAAGGCCTATTGTATATACGGACGAATCTTATGTGGATTCATCGCACTCTTCTCCAAAAGCCTGGAGCGATGGTACTACTAAGTGCCTTAAAAAACCTATTTCGAAAGGACAGCGAGTTGTCATTGTCCACGCAGGCTCTGAAACTGGGTTTATACCCAATGCGTTGCTGACTTTTAAAGCTGGTACGAAATCAGGCGACTACCACGACAACATGATATTTCGAGAACTATGAAAAATGGCTCAGAACTCAGTTAATGCCCAACCTACCACCCAATTCCGTCGTGGTAGTCGACAACGCGTCGTATCATCATAAGCAGTGGGATCACGCACCAACCCCTAACTCCAAGAAAGCTGACATGCAGGCTTGGCTCACTGAAAAAGGCATACAGTACGAGGAAACACTACTAAAACCTCAGTTATACAATTTAATAAAGGCAAACAAGGAAAGATTCAAAACATTTTCGATTGACCGAATCCTAGCTGAACAAGGTCATCAAGTACTGAGACTACCGCCATACCACCCAGATCTCAATCCTATAGAAATGGCTTGGTCCGATATCAAACAATATGTTGGCAGCAAAAATGTGAAATGGAGTGTTACTAAATGTATAGAACTAATTCAAGAAAAAGTTTTACTGATGGGTGCATGGGACTGGCTAAAGTTATGCAAAAAGGTGAAGGACATAGAGGAGCAATATGCAAAGAGTGACCATGTCGTGGACTTGGTAACAGAAACATTTATTATTTCCGTTGATGATTCTGATGACGATGATGCTACTAGTACCAACGACAGAAGCAGCCCTGAGCCCGGACCCTCAACAAGCAAAAGGCCCTGTCGTGATACCATTGAAGGCGTGATACCACTGGCTGATTCAGACTAGGAAAAGGGCAGCATTGGCTGTGTAAATGTGTGTACTTATCATTATAATCATCACTAATTCAGGAAACAGTTTTTTATCTCCAAAATAAAAATTGACAAATTCTGTTTTAATTTTTCTACTTCCCATAAACTTGTTAAAAATCCTGGGTAACATAATTTTTTTGGATATTGGAACTATAAACTATAATAATGACATACACATACACTCACGCATATACACGCACGCACACCACGCACACGCACAAACATAAAGTACATTTTTTTTAACATACACGTTTGTTACTACTACTTAAGTTTTAAATGTTAATACACATGGAGACCAATAATACTGGTTCAACCCAGTGCAGTCTCCCATCTCCTACAAGCACAATAACTGTCTGTATATATTCTTATAGCTTTTACCCGCGGCTTCGCTCGCAGTTATATCTTTCTTAAAAAATATTTTTTTTTAATAAAAAGTATCATATGTTACTTCTAAAACCTCCAAGAATATGTGTACAATTTTTAATGATGATCGGTTACGTAGTTTTCACGTGAAAGCGTAACAAACAAACTTACATTGACATTTATAATATTATATAGTATGATTACTTACTTACCTTTTGTACCTATTGTTGAGAAAATAAAGAAATTCAAATTTGACGACTCTGGCACGTGAACAACTAACAGAAGTTACACTCTATAACATTAACTATTTACTAAAGTTAATATTTGCGTGCGCGACAGTACCCATACGCAGCTATCCCTTACACGTTCCGCACAGCGCTAGACTTACATGCCGCTAGTTATACAATGAGCGCAAATTTTGACACGATAAAAAAACCGCTTTAAGTATTGTGTTCATCTATTTTTCGCGTCAGTTTTATTCTGCATTTCTCATCATTGCAACCACAAGGTACCATAGCGAAGCGTGACAGTATATTATAAATAGCTTAAACGGAGTGTATATAGCACCCAGATTTTTATACTGAACAATAAATCATTGATAGCAATGATTCATTCAAGCAATCTTAGTTCTATTAAAATACATAAATTGAATGCATAATTTAAATGATAGGTATGATTCGTAAACGAGTGTGCCAAAGCATAGCTGTGTCCGCATCCGCACGCATCCGTGTGGGGACGGATTAAGAATACGGAGTGTCACCACCCCCTTTTTTTTCCGTGCGGAAATCCCCTCGGATACCACCTATCGGTGGCATGTCGGACTCGAACCGACTAAAACCGCACGCCGTCTCGGTTACTAATAGCCGGGGAACCAGGTATACCCTGGAAAGGAAGTCCCTGGTGCCCCGACATACCTCGGGCCATCTACAGCCGTCTCCTTCGCGAACATAACTTGCTCGCAGAAGGAGACGGCAGTGTTCCACGCACTCTCGCTCCGCACGATAGCCGCAATCAGGCTATCGAGCGAGAGAACTCCCACTCCGATGGCCGCCACGAGGTCTCGCCTCTGCTCAACCCACGCCGGGCACTCTGCCAGCGTGTGGAGAGCCGTGTCCACGGTCTGGCCATAGCAGTGGTGGCACTCAGGCGTTGGCTCCTTGCGGTTCAGACACAGGTGATCCCCGAAACATCCTTTCCCAGTGATCACCTGCGTCAGTCGGTATGAGAGTGTCCCATGACGCCTCTCGAGCCAATCCTCCATAACGGGTCTTACCGCCGCGATGACGGCGTGCCCGAGTGTCACCACCCCAGTATTCATCCCGTGAGTGTAGTAAGAGCCGACTAAGGGAGCAAACTACCCAGGACAACAGCACTGCAAAGAGAAGGAAAACTTGACACAAACCCTATCTACCCATCCCTCCATCAAATCCCAACCCATCCGGCCAGCGTGGTATAGTAGGCCTATGTCCAGAAGTGGACTTTTGGAGACTGTTGATGATGATGATAATGAACGCATAGCTGACGTTTTCATAAACAGATTTACTCAGAATCGAAGCTAATGAGAAACTGACTGAAGAGACTGACTTTTACGAATTCGACGTATTTCGCCTAAAAGAGTTTATTTAGTTCTCCCACCGGCCACCTGTCTGACGCCAAAACTCTTTGTAGGGATGAAAATTTTCTGATAGGGCAATGGATGAAAGTGAGTTGGAGAAAGGAGAACGGATAAAATGGTTATGGAGCCAGGGTAGAGACACCGCAAGTCTCGGATGAGGAAACAAGATTGACCTGCAGGACCTCGAAAAAGTTGGCTTCGCATACCCATCCGTTCTATGATTAGAGAGGCTATTGAAGTAGGAATACCAGTTGGCCATAACTTGAGGGCAATTCAGTTCTTTACATGGTAACCTGAACCAGTGCCTATACTAGTAAATATAATGATGGTATTAAGTAATGGTTCTGCCTACCTAAAGGTATACTGATCGTGTAAAAAAATAATAATATATTTATTTGTCAGAATGGTATACAGAGTTGTTAGAAGGTACATTTTAGATGCTAGCCACATTGTACCATTATCTGGTGAACAAAATGTTAGTAGAGTGAATTTATGTCGTTTTTTTTCATCCAGGTACAACATCCAGGTATAATAGATGTTTCTCACCTTAATGCCTTTGAAGTGCAGGTTACCGATTAACTTGAACATCGAAAGAGGCCCCCGAGTAAGGCACATACACTAGAATATCATAAAAAGAAACACTTAATATACCAAAAATAAAAGCTATCGGATCCATTTACAACAAATGTCTTAAGACCAACACAAATTGATATTTTGTTTAGAGAGCGATAATTTGAGAGTGGTTTTTAGACAGCGTTGCAGAGAGCTGATAAAGTTCTAGGACCATTACATTTAGCCGACTAATAGTAGACTTGTCTTAAAAAAAATGGATTTTTATTTACTTGATAAAGGTCTTCCATGTTATTAACCTTTAGATCAATATCAGTGATTTCATTTATTTTTATTTTTTAATGCAGACGTTTTCAGAAAACATCCTTGGTATTAAAGAATGGTTCAGCTCATGTCTGCTTTTACAAAATTTAAGCGTTATCAGTAAATGTTGTCAATTTCAAAATAAAATTCTTGCTTAAGGCTTTTTTAGCGCTTTACCATTCACATCTTTTGGTAACACCTACGTAGTTGGAGTTATAAAAAAAATTAAACGTAGGTAATTCTTAAAAAGAACTAAGTTCAGTTTTAAGGTGCGGTTTTAAGCAGTAGACTAAAAAAGGTGGTTAATGTTTTGTAATTCATAAAATTTAAAAAAGCAATAGAAATGCTTTATTCACTTTAAGTTTAGTGTAATGCCTTAAAAGCAGTTTAAATAATAATAGTTTAAAAAAAAAAACTAAAAAACACGGTTTTCATAGAAAACCAAACTGGAAAATAGAAATTAAATTAAAAAAAAAGCGTTGGGTACATGTTGTCAATAGTAAAAAGCACTCCACGCTTTTTTGAAATTTATTAAAATTTATTTTCTATTTTTTAGTTTGGTTTTCTATAAAAAGCGTGTTTCTTTTTGTTTTTTAAACCATTATTATTTTTATTTTTTGTTATTTTTAATTTTAAATTAGTGTATTGTCATCGGTCCTCGATAGATCTACAAAGTTTGAACGAATTCTGACCGTTTAAAGTCAGTCAAAATCACGCCCAAAGGAGTCGGTAAAGATAGTACATGAAATAACTAATAATGTACTATGAGACTTACATTAGGCTGTAAAAACACAATAATATCATTAGTTTTATTAAAGTTCTTTAAATATAGATATTCTACACATTCAAGACAATTTCGAGGTGAAAATATTTTGTCATTTTTTAATCGAGTTCAAAAGAGAGGCTATCATTACGAATGTTTATATATTTTTTCATGTATGTTCGGGTATAACTCCGTCTTATTTAGACGGATTTGCAAAACTCTTTTTTTGTTCGAAAGGTGTCTATTCCGAAATGGTCCCAGTTAAATTTCATATAGATCTGATGATGAGTTTCGGACACAGACAACGGAACTCTTCAAAAAATGACAGCAAATGAACCGCGATTGCTGCTAGATTTTTAGTGTTCTTTGTTAGTATTGCTTGAAGTCGGTTAAACTTCTTTTAAAAGGATTTATCTTATTTTAAATATTTTTTTCTACTATCTGTGCGTTCGTTGTTACACTTACAACTGTAAAATAAGTCAAATTTCTACTGAATATTGTGACAATTGTGATACATAAGCACGGAGGGTCACCTGATGGTAAGTGGCTATCGCAGACAATACACCTATGGCTCAAGAGTCACAAGTGCCGTCATTTGAGTCCTCTTTTGAGTCTTCATGTGAGTCCTCATTTGACTCCTCATTTGAGTCCACATTTGACTTCTCAAGAGTCACAAGTTCGTTGCCGTCATTTGAGTTCTCATTTGAGTCCTTATTTGAGTCCTCATTTGAGCCCTCATTTGAGTTCTCTTTTGAGTCCTCATTTGAGTCTTTCTGTGAGTCCTTTTAACCAGGAACCCCTCCGGTTAAAGCCGCAGCTATATACATCTCCCAAAATATTTTTAACTTATTAAAAACAACCCAAAATTATCCATGTGATTACAATCTATTACAGGTTTAATCTAGGTTGGTATCTAAATATTGTGGCAAGATCTTAAAATTGATGACTTCATGAGGTGTCTGCCCATTTCATAAATGATCGTATTTCATATAATGTATATATATAACCAGCTAAAATTGTTCGGCTCTTTTAAAAGTCAACGTTATATTTAACCGACTTCAAGAAAGAAGGAAGGTTCTCAATTCTTCGGAATCTTCTTTTTTATCTATACAAATAAATAAAATTGGAGTGTCTGTTTGCAATATTAAAATAACCGCTTTTTACTAAATGCATATGTGTGTTTACACGGTACATATGCCAAAATAACATTTTTTACATTTTTTGTCTGTCTGTCTGTCTGTTTGTTCCGGGTAATCTCTGGAACGGCTGGACCGATTTCGACGGGACTTTCACTGGCAGATAGCTGATGACATAAAGAGTATCTTAGGCAACTTTTTTTAGACTAGCTTCGCTGCGCAGCGTT